ATTTGATCATCTTGTTAAAAGCTTTCTTTTTAATGGCGGGTATTAAATATTCACGTAAATGTTGAGGACATCCACAAATCTGACTGGTTATTGCTTTGAAATCTTAATCCAATAATGAATTCAGCCTAATTGCTGTTTTTAATTTAAGAATTGTCTTTTGACGGTATATTTTAGTTCTCTGTTATTTTAGTACATGTCATATGTCATAGAAGTGATAGGGTTGACTACTGGTGCTGGCGTAGAAGTGATGAGGTACTCTACTGGTACTACAAGCCATATGTCATACAAGTGATGAGGTACTCTACTGGTACTACAAGCCATATGTCATACAAGTGATGAGGTACTCTACTGGTACTACAAGCCATATGTCACACAAGTGATGAGGTACTCTACTGGTACTACAAGCCATATGTCATACAAGTGATGAGGTACTCTACTGATACTACAAGCCATATGTCATACAAGTGATGAGGTACTCTACTGGTACTATAAGCCATATGTCACACAAGTGATGAGGTATTCTACTGGTACTACAAGACATATGTCACACAAGTGATGAGGTATTCTACTGGTACTACAAGCCATATGTCATACAAGTGATGAGGTACTCTACTGGTACTATAAGCCATATGTCACACAAGTGATGAGGTATTCTACTGGTACTACAAGCCATATGTCACACAAGTGATGAGGTACTCTACTGGTATTACAAGCCATATGTCCCACAAGTGATGAGGTACTCTACTGGTACTACAAGCCATATGTCACACAAATGATGAGGTATTCTACTGGTACTACAAGCCATATGTCATACAAGTGATGAGGTACTCTACTGGTACTACAAGCCATATGTCACACAAGTGATGAGGTATTCTACTGGTACAACAAGCCATATGTCATACTACTCTGCTGGTACTACAAGCCATATGTCATACAAGTGATGAGGTACTCTACTGGTACTACAAGCCATATGTCATACAAGTGATTAGGTACTCTACTGGTACATATAAAAATGTTATACTGCTGGTAGACATCATCTCAGCCAAACTGCTCCCATAGTAAAAAAGAAGACCCATCCCGTCTTCTTACCTACAGGACAAACTAAAGGTTGTGTAAGAGCACATAAATCTAAGCTTGCATTAAGATACAATCTTGTGACACCCAAAGGCCTGCCGGTGTTAACGTCCAGACGCTCAAAGTATTTTTACCTGTAGGCTGTGTGTTGGCTCAGTGTAACCTAGAATAATGCTATTGTTACATGGCCTTAATTTATATTGATTTTTAAAATTGTAATTAATAACCTAAATTAGGTATACTAAGTTGTATTAAAAGATATCTTGCTGAAAGTGTATCTTCATGTGTAAAACTGAGACAAACAACAAGGACACAACCCCACGGACTGGAGTCTGTAAGAAGAAAAACAACAGGGAAGTGTGGGGAACGAGGGGAGATCGAACATTCGATAGATAAGACGCGCTGTACTTTGACCTTAATATTTTGATCTCTACGTCACACTGGGAATGACGCAAGATGTAATGCTTAACGGTTTTCCGCGTTAGAAGAGAAACACGCTATTTTCACTGGCGAAAACATGAAAGTGGCGTGCTGTAGAGAATTGTTATTTTTAGGTTGTTAAAATATGAGGAAACGACAGATTATTAATATCATATGACTTTCTATAAAGAAACACATTATCTTCAGTTAAGAGACCAAATGACTTGTTACAAAGAAAAACATGTTAAATTAAGAGAACAGCACAAACGCCATTAGGACTAAGAGACCCAACAACGCGCTGTTTAGCTTGTACTCATCCTTTAACAAAGTTGTCGAGTGGAATCAGCTTGTTCTAATTAGTGTTAACCAACCCAATTAAATGTATAGATATTAAAACATTGTTTCGATCTGTGGTCCATTAGAAATCGAGACTAGTCGTATAAAACATTAAGGAACGTTTTGAACAGGGAATGAGAGCTACGACCGATAACTCTAGTTCTGACCTAATTCATTTATAGCAAGCTTAATATCGTCACCTCCCCTGTAACTAGTAGGTCGACATTGAACTGAACACAGCCTACTCTATTTTTAAATTGTTTTTTTTTCCTGGTGTTAGGTCTTACTTGTTTTGTTTTTTAGTAGTCTAGTCGGCGTAGACGTGTTTGTTGTATTTGCGACACACCTGATACATTAATGTGTCGAAGTCACGTGATTTTTTCCTATACTGCTTTGATTCAATGTAAATGTTTCTACATCATGATGCGCTACACATTGCTCAAGGAATCGCGATAGCTGTTAGAAACTGCTAATACAATTCTGGACTTCGCTTTTAGAACAAACAAATGGATAAACAGCTGTTTGTTTCTTCAATTTCTAATCTTTCATACTCATAGTCTTAGCAATAACATTTCCGTCTAAGTGATCGTCTAATAATGTCATTTGTGGTCATCGTCTTGACCCGTCATTTGTGGCCATTGTCTTGACCCTGTCACCTCTGGCCAGTCTGCAATCAAACAACACAAATACAAGCTGACAAAAACATGCAGTTTTTCAGTTGTACTTAAGAAAACAGCGTTATTTTTTTTATTTAAATTGATTGGATAACGTAATTATAAATTTGTTGTGATTGAAGATCTTATTAATAACGTAATTATATATTTGTAGTGAAGTGATTGAAGATGTTACTAATAACGTAATTATAAATGTGTAGTGATCAAAGATGTTAGTAATAACGTAATTATAAATTGGTACTGATTAAAGATGTTAGTAATAAAGTAATTCTAAATTTGTAGTGGTTGAAGAAGGTGCTGATGTAGTCTTGTGAGGCAGTCGTACTTTTTCAGTAAATGCTCCCATAGTTTGGTCCAGCCATCTCTTGAATGGACTAGTACATGATTTGTGTAACCACAAGTGACATCGGCTGTGTGACCACGTGACCTGTGTTTGTAATGCAGCCGTCCCTGAATGCGGCAGTAAAGTTACAAGCATGAATATGTGTACACGTCACCTGTGTTTGCTGTTGTGTATGGTTACACAAGTTCGTCTAATTATGGGACCAGTGACACGGTTCACTCGTTGATAGCATTTAGCAGTCGGCATAGGGACTCATGCAGGATGTATTCGTCTCTTGAGCTGTTTGTGTGTGTGTGTGTGTGTGTGTCTAGAAATGCCTCTAGGACTATTTGGCGTGTGTATGTGTGTTTGTGCATGCGTATGTGTGTGTCTAGGCGTAACTGGCGTGTGTGTGTGTGTCTAAGCATAACTGGCGTTTGTCTAGGCCTGTTTGCTGTTTGTGTGAATCGGCATGTCTATTGTATGTATACGTTTTTGACGTGAGCTGTGGTATTTTTAAGGATTCCGTAGACTTTACTGACCAAGCGGATGTGTGTTGGTGGACGGGGCGGGGCGGGGGTGGGATCAGGTGGCCGTATGCGTGAGCACTACGCGGAGCGTGTGTGTGTGACTATGACGAAAATAGCAGCGAGTGTGTTTGTGTCTGTGTGTGTGTGTGTGTGTACCAGCTGTCCAAAGGGAAGCCTTTAAGAAATCGATAAAAATTGTGAACGATTGATTTGATATGGGAGCAAAAATAGTTGAGGGTATGATGAGAAATCGACTGCTGTAGCCAGCACTTTGTTGTTTTCTGGGCCAAAGAGAAAGTATAATTAGCCATAATTGGTTTAAAATTGCTTTTTTTTTTACAATTGTCAACACACAGACTTCCGGGTGTAAAATTGTATATCGTCATGCAACTAGTCTCATACTTTACGGGTGTTAAATTGTATATCGTCATGCAACTAATCTCATACTTTACGGGTGTTAAATTGTATATCGTCATGCAATTAATCTCATATTTTACGGGTGTAAAATTGTATATCTTTATGCAACGAATCTCATATTTTACGGGTATAAAATTGTCTATCGTCGATCATGCTATCGTTTATACTTATCAAAGATGTGTTGGCACCTAGATCTGTCTGCCTCTGAGATTCATGCAACAGGAGCGACCTGGGAGTGGCTTCTTGTCATGGTCACGTGTATGTTGTAGGTGAAGCGTGGATGGCCCACATTGCAATACCAGTGGCGGTTATCTGCTGAATAGCACACACAACACGCACATTTTCCCACACTTAACTAATCAGGCCATTTATTGCTTTTGAAATTCCCACAGTGTCTGGGTGAAAGACGTCTTCTAATATTTACTCTGTCCCATATTTAACCAATCTGGTAATGGCTGTCCTATTCAAAATTTAACCAGTCTCTTTAATATTTATCCCCATTTAATCAGTCTCTATAGTCTGGTCCCATTTAACCAGGTAACGTTATGTTGGGTCCCATAAAACCATGTTGGTTCCCATACTGCTTAATGTATATTGATTCATTTTTTAACTTGTTCGCTCTATGTATAAATCTATCTCTTCCTCATTTAACCAACTATTTATCTTTATAATTAATCCAGACAATAAATGACTTTCATAAACCCATTAACCAGTTAGCCAGCTCCAGTTGTAGCCTAACTGCTTCTAGTGGGGCTACCTTATAGTGCTTCTTCTCCACAACTTTCTAAGTTCAAATGACATTAAAAAATTTGCCTGCTCCAAACTAGTGGCTTCAGTTCTAAATTTTGCTTTGTTTTATTGCTCTGTTATTTTAGTTTTTAAAGTATGAGTTATGTCCCTGGATTACAAATCTAATTCATCATGGGTTATTTTAACTACCCAGTAAAAGCCAGTAAAAAAAGTTGTAACTGATTGAAATGGGATATAAGATTAGTGTTGACATTTCAAAACTAATGGAGCAAAGTGTTTGCTTTTAGAAAATTTTAATTGAAATTTTAAAAAATATCTTTTTGTTTTTCAACATACTAATTTTGTGACAGCTTTGTCTAGACACGATTCTGTCTTATAAGAATAATCAGTATTTTTCACCCTGTGATATCAAGTTTCCTCATTTACAGGCTTTCCTTGTATTTTATTTCTTGTGATATCAAGTTTCTTTATTTGCAGTCCTTCCTGAGGGTGAGATGCCCCCAGACAGCAGCCAGTATCAGTTATCTTTAGCGGATCGGATGAATTTTAGTCCTGGTCAAGGCAGCAGTGCTTACCATCCATTGGACGCTGCTGGGGAGGTGGGGGGAGCCTCAGACCCCAAGAGGAAGAAAGGAAATGGAGTGGAGGGCAAGAGTATAGAGGAGGAGCTGTGCCGAATCTGTGGGGACCGGGCCTCAGGGTACCACTACAATGCCCTCAGCTGTGAGGGCTGTAAAGGTGAGCTTAACAAAGGTTCTATCCACCCTATACTGAGGACTACTCAAGACTGATACATGCAGTCATAAGGTTGATTTGACATTAATAAACAAGATGATATACCAGTCAAGGCCAAAATATTGTCTGGTTTCACAACGTAGCTGCTATCATGTACACAGCTCTTTTAGCTGGAAAGTAGATTTTAACTCTTCTTTTTGTGAGATGGTTGCTTGAAGGTCTATCTGCAATATAGTGGGCTACTATTAAAAAATGTTATAAGCTAATGTTTTGCATATTTTAGTTGAGTTCTCTGAGTCCACTCAGCTCTCCTAAATACCTGGCTTGACTTAGTATCTTAAATAGTAACAAGACTATCTGCTGACTATTCCTAAAAAGCCAAAAATAAGTCTATTACCCGGCAAGAAAAAATTCATCTCATCTACCACTTAAGCGTTTAAAAAAATACTTTAACCATAAAACTTGATTAAAGCCAGACAGTTAAAACAGTTTTTTTTGTACTCTCTGGTTATAAGAATAGTGTTGCCAGATCAAAGAATGATGTTGCCAGAACATACAATAATGTTACCAGATCAAAGAATGATGTTGCCAGAACATAGAATAATGTTGCCAGATCAAAGAATGATGTTGCCAGAACATAGAATGATGTTGCCAGATCAAAGAATGATGTTGACAGATCAATGAATGATGTTGCCAGATCAAAGAATGATGTTGCCAGATCAAAGAATGATGTTGACAGATCAATGAATGATGTTGCCAGATCAAAGAATGATGTTGCCAGAACAAAGAATAATGTTGCCAGAACAAAGAATAATGTTGCCAGAACAGCTATATAGAAATCAGAATTAACTTGTAGACGATAAGTTTCTGAAAAGTGCCATATGATCAACATCCCATGCTTTAGTCTTATGATTATTGATCATTGTCTTTTTTAAATTGTAAAATGACATTAGCAAATTTTATACAGACTAAATTTCTTTAACAAATACACAGGTTTAATGTATAAAACTACAAAAGTTTATAAGCTCACGTTCACAAAAGAGGGTCTTTTTTTTTGTTGTCTTTTTTGTTTTTTGTTGTTGCCTAAAATGTTAAATATAATAAGTACTAATACATTTTTGCACTTCAGCTTATAGGCCCATATGTTATGTCTTACAATAGATGAGTTGATATCTCAATCACTTTTATACAATCAAAACTTACATGATACATCTTGTGTCTTAGATACAGGTTATGTCTTCGATTGATACATGCCATGTCTTTGATACATACCATGTCTTTGATACATTTGATGTCTTACAACAGATTTGCTAATGTTACCTTGTTCCATTGTGTGATTCATACATGAATTAGTGGTTTATTACATTTTTTTTTTTCTTATTGCAGGATTCTTTCGCAGAAGCATTACAAAAACAGCTGCATACATCTGCAAGTATGGGGGAAATTGTGAAATGGACATGTGGATGCGCCGCAAATGTCAAGCCTGTAGATTACGTCGATGTAGGGAGGTGGGGATGAAGGAAGAATGTAAGTCTTCTGCATCTCAGTTTCTTGAATGTATTGTTCTTGGACATATTATTCGTAACCTATTAAACTGTTTATTTTCTTTGGGTTTTTTTTGTATTACGGTTAGTTTACTTATTCCTTTGTCATTCAAAATTAAACAATTTATATTTTTCTTGTGTAATAGGTTTACTCTCAGAAGACCAGTGTAAAGCTAGAGATGCCAGGCGCAAAGCCAAGCGTTTTGTCCCAAAAAAAGAGGTCCACAGTCCAGACAGCTATGGCGCCAGTTCAGATATGGACACCATGCCCATGATGCCACAGCTGGACATCAAGCCAGTTCTGCTGTCCTTTCCTTCCACAGCTTCCACCTCATCAGGTGCAGGCTCCCCGTGTTCTTTTACTGATGAATCCGTTGACCCGATGAGGAAACTTACCACAGAGCAGCGGGAAGCTATAGAGAAACTGGTTGCATTACAAGACAAGTATGAATTTGCTGATGAGGAAAAATATGACGAAGCCCTGGTAAGTTAGCGCTTGATTTATTTTTCTAACACAATCTTTGCTTTTAATTGAGATCTTACTTTACTATTATGAATTATTTTTAAAATAACATTCAGTGCCAATATATTTTTGTAATTTGATATTATATTTGAAATAAATCTTCAAAATAACTTAAGATAAACTATTATAATAGTTCTCGATGGTCTTTACTTCACTATAACAATTTGTGTGATCTAAATAATTTCCAGAAAGATTTTGATTCCACCAAAACTGATACAATAGACCCCAACAGTTTTGTCAACTCCATGGCATCAACTTTTATCATAATCACTCAGCTGATTGTAGAGTTTGCTAAAGGACTCCCTGGCTTTCTCACCTTACGGAAAGAAGATCAAATAACTTTGCTAAAGGTTTGTTGATTCACATCGAATTAGTTTACAAGTTAAAAAAAAAATGCTGGTTTAAAATCTTTAATATTTAAACACAGAAATTTTATTTTATTTTAGCTTGTAATATACTTAAGATTCTGTAATTTTATCTTTATAACTTTTTTATGCTTAACTAAATGAAAATGTGTCTGGCAGTCATCATCTACGGAGGTGATGTCCATCAGAGCAGCCCGGTGTTATGACATAGAGTCTCGAGCCATTGTCTTTGCTAATGGTCAGCCTTGTGTGGTGGACAACATGAAAGCTGCTGGGTTTGGCCATTATGCTGAGCTCTTGTTTGAGCTGTGCCACAACTTGGCATCATACAGAACAGATAATGCTGAATACGCCTTGTTTACTGCTATATGTATCTTCTCAGGTAGGTTACCAACTTATCCATTTATAGAGACTCATATGTGGGATTTTATAATTTACATAGATAGATTTTAGGTTATTTTTTTTAAAATTCAATTTATTTATTTGTGCCCACATATGTAGGTTATTTCTCATTTATAATTAATTTCCTTAAGGTTTTCCTTATTAATTTACATATCTGTATTAAGTTTATTGTTAAAATGGTTTATTGACATACACAACATATGTATGGTTTTTATGTTATTTATCCAGCCATTGTTTTTCTGGTTGGTGATTGAATATTATGTCTGCTTCCAGAACGACCTGGCCTAGAAGATAAAGAAAAGGTGGAGAAGATCCAAGGGACATATGTGGAACTGTTGCAGGCATATGAGACAGCCAAGCGGGGCAGAGGAGGAAACGCCCTGGCCCGGTTCCTCACCCGCTTGTCAGATTTGAGAACAATCAGTGTAGAGCACTCCAAAGTTTTGGTGGAGTGGGATGTTAAAAAAGATGGACCGGATGTTCCTTCCATCATTAAGGACATTCTTCTGTTGCCTCCTGAGGGAAACTAAGACATGTTGTTGGTTATTCTCCTGGATATTTAAACTGACATGTTACTGTGGGTTGTTCCATTTCTTGTTATAATATTGTAAAAAATGACAGTTCAAACTGGAAGATATCTTTTGAAAAAAGCTGGTGAAAAGAAACTGTGACTTGAATTTGACTTCTTCAGATAATGCTCAATGCTTTGGATAAATTTGTAAACAGTTTGAGTGAATGTATTCTTCAGTGTAAAATTGGAATAGTGTGTGCAATAATTCTTCAATATGAATCAGACCAATGTGGTACTCTCAAGCTAGAAACCCACCATTGTCATCATGACGCTGGCCATTTTGGTACTCTCAGAACCAGAAGCCTACCATTGTTTATAAACAAATAAGCACTGTAAGATCATATAAAAAAAACAAGTGCTGTTTACCCTACGTGCTGGAAATATGGTTTGATTCTTTTTGGAATGTTTGGATTTGTTTCACAAGTACTCTAAAAGAGTAGGAGGTTGTGTGACTTGTTTCAACATAATGGATATTGTAGCCGGGAGTGCTTAGATTGAAATAAGACTGCTGTTGAACTCAGTTACAGGTAATGAAAACTGTTTTATACTACCATGACCTAGTACAGTTTGTAATAAAAAATATAGTGTCTTGGATTTATCTTTTAGAGAAAGGATTCTATGCTAAGAAGTGGTTGTGTAGAAGGTGAAGAGTATCTTAAGGTAAATCTTTGAGGACTCGTTGTTTCTACTCTACTTTGAAGAACTGATATTGGGACTTAGTCTCCAGCCTTGTCATCATTCAGTTCTCATAGTTTTTCTTGTGAGGATTATATAACCACAGTGAGACCAGTGCTTGCTTTTGCTTCAAGTGGTTTTTTTGGGTAACCTTCATGTCAGTGGCAGATTATTTGTGTGCCTAAAAAAAAGTTTTGCTTTATGCAAAAATATTGTTTTGATTATTCAAATAGCAGCTTACATTTTACCACATTGAAGTGAGTAAATGCATAATTTCTTTGTGAAGGTAAAAAAAATGTTTATTAATATAATTATATTGAATCATATAGAGTAAATATAAATAGTTGTCAATTTTTAATTAGTTAGTTTTCCATTTAATTTTATGGTATTAATTAGCAAACATTTTGCTCTATAGTATTGATATTTTTTAAAAATATTGTACTATTTAGAATTTTTAAATTTGAGAAAGCACATTTTTTAATTAGCTATATTCCTTTTTAACTCACATTTTCATTTTTAAAATGTAATATTTCATTGAAATTATCATTCTAAAAACCATTAAGTTTTAGATTTTACTTTGAGCTGTATTTAGTGTACCTGCTGCTATAAAGCTATTACATTGCTGTACCTTTGAAATGTGTTTTAGTAGTCTGTTTCTGAATGCATGTTATACTATACTAGCTTCAAAACCTTGACCTTTTAAGTAGGTCAAACAGACAAACATGACACAGGCATTATGCTGACCTCATTTCCCCTTGTTATCAGTTGGGAGATTGTCTGCTTTATGCCAAGCTCATCAGTTGAAATCATCAACACTTTTGAGGCATTTCATATTTATAGTGCTTCAAGACTTAAAATAGCTTCATTGAATTAAATTTTTCTAGCAAATTTATTTTAATAATGTTAACAACTTGTACTTTTCCTTTTTTTAAGTGTGAAGTTCACCAACTTCTAGCAAACTTGTTGGTTTTTTTAAAGCTTTACTTTTCTATTTGCAGACTATAAATGGCAACCTCTTTCATGTAGGGCCTTTTAAAAATGAATCTGAATGTTTTTTAAATTAAATTTACCATTCTAAAGTAGTAGTTTGGCTGTGAAAATTACATTTAATTTTACAATTTAAGATAGTATAATTTTTATTCGTATAGGTATGATTTTTATATTTTGAGTACTAAAATATTTTTAAATTAATGATTTAAAAAAAAATCTTTTGAGAAAACAACTATCAGGCTGTTTAAAAAATTCTGAGAATTTAAATTTTTATCATCTTTGAAATCAATTTTAAATTTTTGTTTACATATATACATATATATCTTTTAATTGTTACCATCTTTTTAAAAATTATAAAATAGTTTCAAATTTTTAAATTACTTTTTGAACTTTCAGTCAATAGTTTATTTAAACAAATATGCTTCTGCCCTACACAAGCTTGTTTACTCAATTACAGGACCATTACAGTTATTTCATTTGACTTTCACAATAGTGCAAATCGAGTTTTGGTATTTGGGTAGATCTAGTTAATATTCTCTCACACATAGAGCTTCTATCTCCATTGTTGCCATCAGAGTTGTAGATTTGGGACGTCCTTCACCTTGCACATTATTAGCATGACTTTAAATTGGATTTAGTTTAGTTCAAATACACAAACATGCTTAGTTTTAAAAACCATACAAATGCAGCAAGTATACTAAAAATATTCTTGAAAATGTTTTCTTTTTGCTTAAGTTGGTTATCCCAACCTACCAAGGTTGTGGTTATCCCAACCTACCGAGGTTGTGGTTATCCCAACCTACTAAGGTTGTGGTTATCCCAACCTACTTAGGTTGTGGCTATCCCAACCTACTAAAGTTGTGATTATCCCAACCTACCAAGGTTGTGGTTATCCCAACCTACTAAGGTTGTGGTTATCCCAACCTACTTAGGTTGTGGTTATCCCAACCTACTAAGGTTGTGGTCACCACTGCAACTGTTGGTAATCATGTTTTGTGTTTCATACGGTGTCAAAACTCAGGTAATGAAGCATATATAATTCTATATGTAAATATATATATATAAATAGTTTGTGTGTCTACAGTTTGTTACTACACTGCTTGCTCAATATGAATATTGTTTTCTTTTTTAAAGTTGTTATTTTTATTTTGTTGTCCTCATCGTCCATACAATGGAAGGCTACCTTGCATAAATAAATATTCATCTATTTTTATTGACTTATGAAATATTTGATGTGTTGTCAATACAGTTGCCTTGAGTTTGCCTTGTGGCAAATTCAGCTCTCACTCTTGTTCATTATTCAAATGCTATTACTTAGTTATGCTGGGACTCCTTGCAAATTGTTCTGTTAATAGCACATGATTGGTTCAAGTTTTTAAACTACATACTCCATGTTTTTGTTCACACCTATGTGGTTTTTCATTATTCTTTATGATTGTAATAAAGGAAAATGACTATGTGATAGTGTCAACAATTGTGATTAACATGAATGAGAATTCAACATTTGCTAACCTATTCTGTTTATAAACAATGGATGTGTTTTGTTAGTGTTCACTTGCTATTAATTGAGTTGTATTGTGTACTTGTATTGATTTTTAAAATGTTCAACCTTAGCTTCACTAACATGCTGAGACATTTGATCTGTATATAGACAATATAATGTTGTTCAACTTACACTAGACAAGTATGAATGAAATTAGTGTATTTGTGCATGCCATTGCTTAACTTCTGCTTCCTCTCATTTTTCCAATTTACAGCATGCAAAAATTACTTTAGCCCACAAGACTGAAAAGTGAAATGGTAGCTTTTTGTGTTCAATACAACTAGCACAATGCTTTCAAACATTCCAGTTAACGTAAGAGAAAAAACAAAGTAGATCTGTTTTAATTTCAGGGCTAAACTTTGAGTTGGTTAACAAGTAAATATATAGTGGTGGAAAAACAGGATTATGCACAACATAAGTTTACCTTTACACCTGGTTTCTTTCAGAAGTTGATTTCAAAGTGCAGTTATTTAAATTCAATGACAACAGCCTATGTTATTCAAGTAAATTGTTAATGAACAAAGTGGCAACTGGTGGTGTTGGGGCAGACCAGTTCCCACCTGTGGTTTCACCTACAAATAGATATTCTAATTACCTGATTTTTTGTTACAAAAATGTGCCTTAGATTTACAATTAACAACAGTGCAGTTAATGTTAGAAGTGGCCAGGTATTATGTTATTAAAACTTAAATATAAAAAAAAAATATACATTAGTTTTAGTAAAATATTTACCATAATTTGAGTAACAGCTAAAGTAATTGTTTTCTTGTTTTAAAATTTGTATTGCAGCATTTAGTTTATGAAACAAGAAATAAATACCTCTATAACAGTAATTAATTATATTTTTGCTTGTATGATTAGTGACTTGTTCTTATGAATTTTACTTAGATCTAGGTTTTTCCCAGCATTGATAATTGTCAAAGCTAAATCACATAGGTTGAACCAACTAGAATCAGGTTTAAACACCTGTCAGTCCACATCATCCAACATTAGTTTTTAGGATGTTCTAATTGCTTGAACCAGCTAGAATGTTTACCCATCTGTCAGCAGATGACATTACTTGACATAAACACTGTAACAGGGCTGTCATCAAACTTTTTTTTTTCAAACATTTTTTGGGTGTACAAATGTGGCAGCTAATATTTTTTTTTTTACATTGCAGTTAGAAATGGGGGTTTTTCTCTAAGAAAAAAATTATTTTATTTCTTATATAATGTGTAATTGTTTGTTGTGGAAATTTTGAAAATTATCTTCGCTCTCTACACTGACAAAGTGGTCGTCCATTATTTGCTTGCAATCTTAATTGTCTCACATCCTAACAAAAAGTCTGACCCTTACCCCACTTCCACCTCCCTTGAATGTCACAAGTTAGCCTACTTCCTCCACAATTGTTGTTTTTTCTGTTTTGAAACAGAAATTTTCTTCTAAAATATTAATTTAGCTGGGTCAAGATAAAGTAAATTAATCAATTTTTGTTGCAATTTACAAAAAAGGCTTTAAAATTGCAAAATAACTGACTGAACTGCTAAGATTGATTTTTAAATTAAAAGTGATGTCAAACCCCAATCACATAACTCCACCCCTAGGAATGTGATGTTATCAATGGAGGACCACAAAGTTTGAAAGTTAAACACGTGTTTTATAAGCTTAATCTAGTACTAAAAATTCTTGAAGGTTGTAGAATATTTGCATATTTAACCAATTATTTTTAGTATGTCTTATCTTATTTCAATGTATAGAATCTTAAAACATTCAATTGTGAAATATTATTCTGTTAATTTTTTTTTTTTCCTGTGCCTTTATTTGAAGCCTTGTCTGAAACTAGGCAAGCAACAAAGACCAAATGTTTGTTAAACCTATGCTCTCTTATCTTCAACTAGTCTCTTACTTTTGGAGTAGAGATAGGAAAATAAAGGAACATTGACTTAGTGTTTTGGATAGTGTGTTGGCTAGTGATTACTTCTTATACTGTATGTGTGTTGATATGTAACTTGTACTTAACTATGTAATGATGAGTTGAAAGTTCAATTAGTTTCTCAGAAGATAAAAGCATAGCTCATGTACTTAGAGATAGTGCAATAAGTTTAGAGAATGACAAGTTTATCAAGAACTATCCTTTGGCAAAATTAAGGGCTTTGTATTCTCAGACATCTTCAAATACACATTTTAAAATGGCTAGCCAAGTTATCTATTGACAACCATCTTCTAATTAGAAAATATTCGCTGCAAATTTCTTTAAAATGCACTAAAATCTATTTAATATTGTTCAAAATTAAATAATAATAAAAACGCTTTCTAACCACTTTTGGTACATAGACACTATAATATTTTATTTAAACCTTGTAATTGTAAATATATATTTGTTACATGCTTGAAATTGAAAGTAATTTTGCATTGATTTCTTGCTTGAGTTGTTTTAATGTATGCTATGGTTAGGGCAATTCATTGAACGTGTGTTTTGTTATGCATATTTCCAATTTATGTACAGAAACTTCATTTACTTTGATATTACATGAGACACAAATTAAATAAAGTAACCTTGGAACATCTGCAGATGTTTAGTGTTGAAATTAGAATCAGCCACATATCTTCTGATTCTGTAAACACATTACATTACTGTTACAAAAAATTGATCCCATGCATTATGTATAGGCATGTACCTAATGTTGTTTAAAATGACTAAGAATACTAATGAACTAATCTATAAAAGAAATACTGTAGGGCTGTGCCTTATAATTGACCTAGTAAATCTGGGTATAATGGAATGGAGGTTTATTTCGTTTGGTCAAGTGTTTGATTTGCTAGTTGACCTTATGTTTTATGTATGTATAGAGTGAAGTATGATTCAGGCAGCTAGAGGAGAAGAGGATGCTTTGGTGGAATATTTACCACACACATAGTGGTTTTTGTTTGCTTGCATTATCTGCTTGCTCATGTAACTTTTTTTTAAAAGAAAAATTCTCTTGACAATTTTAAATTGCTTGGTGTAATGCTGTAGATGTCCAGTTGAAAATATTTTTTTTGTAAATACTTCATTGTAATTAACATATCAATCAGTTGTGTTGAAACTAAAAAAATGTGCAAAGAGTTTTTTTCTTGAGAAAATTAGCCACCAATATTTGCCTCTGTATCACCTACCATTTTATTGTTTGATGTCTGGGAGTTGTTAATGTTATCAGCTACTTTGTTCCATTTTTTCCGGTTATATTTAATTTTCTGTAACTCCCTTCAGCTAACATTATATAACTATGTATTGACAAGTATTCTTATGTACTAGAACTATTTTCAGGGCTGGTAACTCTGTATTTACATTTGTTTATTTTAAGTAGGTTGCAATAAAAAAAAAGTAGAATAGCAATTTTCATATCACATATGCCCCTATTGGGAGAGTTTTACTTTTACATTAAACAATTAATTATTACAATACTCCAAAAATATAGAAAGAAAAACAAATTTATATATATATATATATATATATATATATATATATATATATATATATATATATATATATATATATATATATATATATATATATATATATATATATATATATATATCAACTTATTTAACCATCAGGTTAGGGTAAGTAAACTTGAATTTATATGTTGGTTGTCAAGGTAAATTGAGTTAATTTCATAGTAAAAAGATACTCATTCCTGCTTTTTGTTTTAGCCCCACTGAGAATAGTTCTAGTCTGAAATGTTTTGAAACGTGTAAGTGGACAATTACATTATATAGTAGTCCATAACATTTTTTATTCTTTTTGAATTTTTGTTTGTAAGTTATCAGAAAAGAATTAACATCTGTGCTGGCTTACATAATACACACTATTTTTGTGTAAATAACCCGGTCTAAAATAAACAATAGTAGTGATTTTACACAGCTTGTTTTTTTAATAGTATGTTTTTTGTGTCTGTATAAATGATATGCATACGGGACAGTGTTGTATGATAGAGAGCATATGACTTCTTTCAAGTTTAAGATCCCGACTTAAGTTTGTAGAATATACAAGAGCCAACCAAGCTCTGATAGGTACCTGACTCAAGTTAGGGAAAGTAGAAAAATGGGCATAATGCTGACCACATTATCCCTTCATATGCAGAGGTCACAGAAACATGTGAACTCTACTTCATCTGCCACAAAGACCTTTAGGTTTGAAAAGATAACTAAATTGTGTGGTATGGAATTACTTAGTGAAGTCAAACTGGGTGGGTTGGTTAAGCTCATGGCTGCTCAACCCAAAAGTCCCAGGTTTGAACCCCCAGGCAGATGAGGCTCAATAACAGGGGACAGCCACTCATGTTGAAGAGACAACTACAAAATCAAACAACTGCTGCCTTGTAGTTTGTCCTTGGTTGGACAAAGTCTATGGAAACAAATCCAAAAACAGGAGGCTGAAAACTAAGTCAACGCTATATGGCTCATAACAAGTTGAGTTGGAGGGGATCCCTTCCAACACTAGAATTAAGAACGAAGAAGAAAGAAGAATTACTCAGTCCTGTAAATTAAAGTGTAGGCCTAGCTTCTAAAAAATAAGTAATAGCTATTAATTTTGCAACTTTTATTTATCTTAATTCAATAAAAACAAAAACAAATTTGCTATCATTCCATACAGACATAAATATGTACATACTTTTTTAAAAATCAAAACAGTCAACAGGATAGGACTAAAACTAAATATTTGTAATCCCTCACAGTTGAAAGTAATGGATTGAGTAAATGTGAAGAGACAAAACAGTATGAAAAAAATGAAATATGTAAACAATGTGTTCATGAAATTTGGTTTACAAAATATCAAAGTGAAATATGCCCAATTTTTAAAAATAATAAAATTGGTTAAACAAAACTTTAAATATTTTATAAATTTATATATATGTTTTCATACATTTGTAAAAAATTAAGAGTGCAGTACATTTATATACAACAATTACCAAAACTCACAAGGTTTTGTATATTAGTATAAAAGTTTATTATTTGAAAATAAAATCACCATCAAAACGTAAATTATTTACAGTAAAAATTGTAATAGAATAGCCAAGTAAAATTTTAATCACAGACTTTGAATAGGATAATAAAAACACAAGTATTATTGCATAGCCTACTTTATGACTCTCTTGTACAATAATGGTGAAAAAAGGCTCATTTATTATAAAACTAGGTTGCCTAGTAATTTAATATAAAATAAAGCATCTTTTTTATTGAAAATTATTCTCATTGCACTAATTCTAAAACATTGGAATGGAAATGTTGCAATAAATTTTTTTTTATTTGTTATTTTTAGCCATTATATAAACATCCAAATACAATTATTTTCAATTTATAAAATTTATTTTGAAACAGTTGAGAAATTTCATAACTTGTTGTAATTATAGCTATATTTAACTTAATGATGTGCATAAAATGCTGTCTACAGTTTGCTCAATTAGTATCATTTAAAAGGTAAACGTATATAAAAATAGTTGAAAAACTGTAAAAATAAAATAGCCTGATATTAAATTACTTAGAAACTGAATAAAAATAACTAACATTTTAACAAAAACATTATACACTGATGAATATCAGTTGACAATTTACTTAATTAGTTCAAATGTTTTCTCTTTTATTTCATTCAGAATGAAATGACATTTGGAAATAACAATTGTTATTTATAGTTAAAAAAAACTATTTAAACATACTACTAGTTTATTAAAAACTGTATCACTTACTCATCTTAAATTTCTTTAATAAAAACAGGATTTGATGAAACGAGAGACAAAGAATTGTAGAAAACAACTAACATTTCTCAGTTATCCTTATAGTGGCGCTTGTCATTTAGGATGGCTTTAGCTCTTGTGGGACAAACTTTTTGCTGTTTCCATCATAGTTTAAAGACACAGCACACATCTTAGAAACTATAGGAATAATTTAAAAACAGTTTTAGTTTTATTACACACTACACTTTTATTTACTAAGTGGAAATATAATTTAACATGTTCCTCTGCAGGCTGGCGAAATAAATGTATTAATTTTTAAACAGAAATTGTCAAGTTAATTTTTTTTTTAAAAGCCTAGTCCTATAGAAGAGATCCAACAATGTTATTAGGATGCAAAGCTGTTTTAATGCTTACCCACATCTCCTTGAGATTATGTAAGCCTATACTTATTGCTTACATCAATAAGAAATGATTTTAAACTTAAATTATTCTCAACACACAGATCTATAAAATAACTTACATCGTCATATCCAAGTGTGCAGTTGCCTGTTTCATTGCCACCATGTGCAAGGCTGTCCCTCTTCCTAAATGCATCTGTTTTATTTAAAAGAAGATAAATTGTCTTATCCAAAATTCTAAACATTATTCAGACTATTCCAACTAATTCTAAATTATACTTATACATCTAATGTTGAATTAGTTGGACTTCTTTATTTTAAATTTATATTAAATATTTTTCCCAAAAATGTTTTTTAACAAACCTGTATAAGCTCTTAACCTAACTGACACAGCAACAAAGTCATCAAAGGCAATGATGCAGCGACCATTAGGGGGGACAACTCGAGAATAACGTTTTAATATAGTTTCAAGAGTGTGAGGTTGAATTTGGTACCCTGAAAACATAGAGTGACTGGCCATTGTAATTTTACTTTGTCTAACAAAATGGATTATTTTAGCAATTTTTTTATAAAAGTTATGTATGTTTAAACGTTTTGAAATATTTAATAACCTTTAAAACAATCTACTATTGCATTTGAAAATATATAAACAAATTGTAAAATTTTCAATAATTTTTCTCTGTGATAACTTTTAGCACAATATCATTGAAGTTTCCAAAAAAAAAATAATTTCAAATCTTACCAAATAACTGTCTTATTACTCGAGTAAGTTCCGAAGCATCAATGAAACCAGACCGATCAAAATCATATTGGCAAAAAACTTTAAACCAGGCAACAAGACACTGCTGCAGTTCCAAAAATTCATTCCATTGCATAAAGCCATCTTGGGATCGCTACAACTTGTAAAGGACTAATTTTACTTTTATTTTTACCATTTTAAATGTATTGTCTTAGAAAGTAAAACAATTATATTTACTAATAACAATTTTTTTAATGGATTATAGCATTTAGCACAAAACTTAATAATCCACACTAAACTAATGCTTAATTTTTCAAGCTATTTAAACATCTTTACTGTATTTTAATCTGTCAGCTCTAAACTATAGTTAGTGCTATGTTGATTGGTATTAAATAAGGATACATCCAGCATTGCAATCATTATACTGTTAAAAGAAGCAACAAATAAAGTGTTAAGTTAAATTTTATTAAACAAAAAAATTTGTGGGCCCTATTTAATACATCTTTTACACTAGTATAAAATACTGTCCAATTTTAACTGTGCTCAACAAAAATGATGAAAAACACTGAATAGTATTCAATATTGAATAAGGTTAACATCTTTTTAAAAACATAAAAATTGTTCTGACACAAACCAAAATTATTTTTTTTTAAAATAATGTAGACAATAGTTTGTTATAAGCCAGGTATCAGAGTACTTACCTACACATCTCTCTGCTCCAGTTTACTGAGGAGGAATAATATAAAATTAGGGAACAAAAATTAAATGAAACCAACACTGAGCAAGTTTTTATGGCCTTTGAGCCTAAATTGATTTGGTAATAAAAAAAAACTGTCCATACTTCTGAAAAAATTCCTGATACTTGGAGTGTTGTTCAAAACATTCATTAAGTCTTCTGCTTGAATAGCATTCCTTATCTAAATGTTTCCACAAAACAAATGAAATCAATACATTTTTTTAAAAAATATTTGTAAACATAACAAAGTTTGTAAAAATTGGTGTGTAATTTATATATTTTAAAATAAGTGTGTAAAGTTATTATTAATTTAATTAACACCCAATTAAAGTTATGCAGCTATAATGGATATTTTCCTCTATCTATAACTAACAACAAAATCAAAATACCGCATTTTCTGGATTTTTCTGCATTTCTTGAGCAAACACCATCTCAAGGTCACTTGGTTGACGAAATTGATAGGCCTTTGTTTAAAGGGACATTCAGATAAAAAAAATAAATGATTGGCTCCTTTTTTCTAATAATGTACTAAACTTTTAAGTTCTTAATTTATTTTTATGTGTAAATTATTCAAAATTTTATTTAAAAATGAACTAAACTATTGAATTTTAATGACCTTCCATTAATTGTATCTATTATTAAAATGGCTTACACTACAAATAAAATATTTTTAAATTACCTCCCATGCATTAACTTTGAAGACATTGTTAGTGTAGTAGCTTCCGTAACTACCATAATGTTGACTCGGCTGCTGGTACATTTGATATGGTTGTTGTGATGGTGGTGGTCCTTGGTACATGGGTTGTTGTGGCATACCTGAATATGAGTGTCCTCCACCATAATGCTGCCCTCCAGCATAGCTATGTCCTCCTGCAATATGCTGCCCACCACCATATTGCTGATAATCGCCATAGTACTCCATTTTCTGTGGAGAGTGGTTTAAAAAATTATATTTTAATTTTTTCAATAAGTTCTAACTGAAAAAGAAGTCTCTTTTCTAAAACTGAGTTATTTAAATGTAAACAATGCCTGCGCTATATTTCTTTAGTCATACTTGACGGGGAATGGGTTTACCTCCACTACTGCCCAGTATGCTCAATGGCCTTGAGTGTAAGTTAATCACTCTTTGTAATAGTGAGCTAAAACACACTTTGGCGACCACCCAGGTGTCAGGGACGTAGAGGGGCCCTGTTGGGACAGCGTACAGCCACTGGCCTGGTTTAATCATCGAATGTTCCACCATGTCAGTAATGCATAGTGCTCACAGGATGGCCCAGGGTGCCAAACAGCACCCTGCTGGGCACTGTCAGACGTGCCAGATTTGATTTAGTGAACGACAAAATACCACATCTTATCATTATTCTATTGCACTCTTTAAAATTAACTTAAGGGCCATTGCCCTCACGGCATAGCCTGGGGAGCCAAATAGCACCTCTTTGGGCACCGGACAATGTGCCTGATTCATTTTAGTGAGTGACTATAACAACTCATGAAATCCAAAGCCTATCACACTCTTTAAAACAAATATAGGCGCAGTTGTGCTCATGGGTGAGCCCAAGTCGATGGCGAACACATCTAATTCGATATATTCACAAAAGTTGCATCCTTGTTGATAGTATTGTTATACTGGCTATAACTTTCTCTTTCTACTGAATTATTTTATGACGAGACAGCTAGTTTGGTAAGCCTCTGCACCCATGTATTTGATATAGCTTATGTGTGGTTGGTTGTGTATTCAAATATGTAATCTATTGTTTGTTTACATTTGTTTTAGGGCTATAGGGGTTGTATATAAATGACGTCACACTCGTAGGGGGGAGGGGGGGTCTGTAATTTTGTGACGGTGTGTGATGAGGGGGAGGGGCGGGGGGTTTAGATCGTGCGATATCACACTTTTGCATTATAAAAAAGCAATGTTAGAAAACGAATTTTAGACGTTATTTCGCGTTTTAGAAAACTGTTTTAATAGGAATTGATTAAAATACTCTATTTTGACAGAGTCCAGACAAGATTTTGGAAAAATATCGATGTTTTAAGCAATTTTTAGGGGGGTTGTAGACTGAGATGTGATGTCATTTTAGGGCGGGGGGGGGGGGGGGGGGGAGGGCTGGCTTTTTGTGACTGAGGGGAGGTGGGGAGGTAAAAATTGTCAAAAAAAGCGTGACGTCATTTATGGATGACCCCATATGTACTTGTACTAGATCTACCTATGTACTTGCAAGTGTACTATTCTGTGCAACGCTGTGTATGCAATAAATAAGGAACCAGAAGCAAGAAGCATCATTGGTTTTGTTATCTCTCAGGGTCAGACCTTAAACACACTACACCTCAGTGGGTCATCATTACACCACATCCCCACTGAGCCAATGTTACATTACATTTTGCAGAACATCTCTAGTGCAATTTCATAAAATCCCCCAAGTTTTATGGCACTCTGATGAACTGTGTCAAACCGCTTTCAACTTTTATTTTTTACATACCATATATAGATCTAGAGAAAAATAGCACCCTCCCTTGTGAGATTAAAAAATACTTTTTTTTTGCAGAAACCTGCCTTGAAGTATTATCATCAACTCCCCAAAGTTTCATGGCAATCTGATGAACGCATCTGACTTTTATTTTTATATACTGTTTTATTAATATTGTATATAGAGAAAAGTCACAACGCACCCTGCTGGGGCACCACCCCTGTGAAATTGTAATTTATTTTTCCACGAAAACCTATTCTGAAGTATTCTCATCAACCTCCAAGTTTCATGATCATAGGATGAAAGGTGTAGTAAAATGGCAAAGGCATACAAATTTTAATTAACAAAACAAAAAAAAAATGCTTTCATTTATACAATATTATAAATTATAATAATAGTAAACTGTTAAAGCAGGTACTATAAAAATCTAAGTTTTCATCATTAATTAATTAAAATGTAAGCTATGGGCATACCTTTAAAATAATTCTATGCTTCCTTTTACTACTTCCTAGCCTTTTATGCTTCACGCACTTGATTAATAATTTCAGTTTTGTTTACCTTCACTACAGGTATTGCTGTTTCGTTTTCTAGTCTAGATCTAGAATCTTTTTGCTAGAGAGCTACACATTATTGACGAAAAATAGAAAGGGGGGGGGGGGGGTAAAATTCAATAAAAGTAGGCTACCTATTGAACATGATGTTCTTTGGCAACAACTAAACTAAAAACAACAAAATAAAAACAGACTGCATTAAAATGTCAAACCTTGTGAGCTTTATATGATTTATCTTTTTTGTGATTCCTTTTTCCTTCGTCTAAAAATGAAGATTCTAAAACTTTCGCTCCAAACTTCAGTAACGAAGACATGACTAAGATTTACCTGTTACCTACGTCAATACTTTCTAGTTAAGAATCCTATTTATAGCATAGACGTGTTGCTTATTCTCCTCCAAGACTAAGCACAAACGCCCTGGTTTTTTCAATAAAATCAATCAATAGAATAATCGATATAACGATTGCATTATTCGTGTGGTACAGAACTTTTGCCGACGTCAAAAAATTAGGGCAGCAATTGAGATATAATGGTTAAAATTATTGCGCAAATTGGTTTAGTTATTTATAACATTTTGATTTATAAATTAGGCCACTCTTGGCCGACCTGTCGGTGATTTCAACATATGACATACTCTTCTATATCGAGTAGCCTCATTCAAAACAAAATAGGCCATCGAACTATGAGCGTTTTTCTTACTGGTGGTGGGGTGTTTTGGAAGTTTTATTTTATTTAAAAAAATTGAGAAAAATAAATGGGGTCGTCCATCACGTTTTTTTTTTTGCAAATTGTAACCCCCTCCCCATTGTTTTTTTTTTCAGACATCTCCCCGAAGTACTTCTACCGCCACCCCAACCTCCGAACGAAATTTAGTTATTTGAAAAATATTTATTTATACCTTAAGTATACCCAAAATATGGTTGTGTGCATAAGTATTATTACAACATAGTTAAAGCCTACATGTAACTGCTTGCTTAAGATATTGTTTAGAACTATTTATAGATCCCCTGGTATGTAACAGAACAGTAGTAATGTTAATAACAGATGAGTAAACTGTTCAATCATATTTGAAAGATGATCATTACCACTAAGAAATTTTCCCAACAGATGACAAAGTATTTTAACTGACTGGGTCAGTTGTTTTTAAATATATTAAAAGTTATAAGCTAGCTTGAATGACGAAGTGAAACAGGGCAGATAACTATTTAAGGTGTCAGATGGCTGGTGATAGTTCCAGTTTGTCATGACACCTATTACAAATAATTGCTTCAAGTAAATATTTTTGTACAATTTTAGAAAAATTATAGTTTGAGAAGAACACTAGAAAAAAACAACAATTGAAAACGATAACTATTGTATACATAATTGTTTCAAATTGTTTATTGAAATGAGTGAGGTATTATAATTTGATAAGAACACTAGAAAAAACAAAACAATTGAAAACAACAAGATAACTATTGTATACATAATTGTTTCAAATTGTTTATTGAAATGTGAGGTATACAAGAGTTGTAGCATGTAGAGAATGCTACACTAAAAGAAACAAAATTTGAGTTTTCTCCTTAAAAACATTCAACATTAGTAATAAATTATTTTAAAAACAAATAACAGGTGTAACAAATTTTTTAAAAGGTATACTTTTAAATCACTTTGAGACTCTTGCTTCTATGAAACCAAAATTACTACACTTGATCCCAACCATGTCATGTCCTTTAGACTTTTCCACCAGGTATTTAACAAAAATCACAACTAATTTATCCAGTCCTAATGGTGAACAGTCAATAGTTTGGCTGGCCAGGTTTAGGAACCACATGTAACTTTCATGCCGATTGCTTGATAAGTGCTCCGCGTCTGACACTCGTTCATACTGAGTTATTTCCCTTACTGGCAGGTTATACTTAGCATGTATCTGGTTTAATTTAGAGTCTGTTTCACCACTAGCTGTTGAAAAAAAAACAGAAACAAATCCATGTTGATTGTCAATTTTTAAAATTCCAAAAGACAGCAATGCAGGTTTAAAATTTGCCAAATGTAAATAAATATTTTTTAAAATTTTTAAAAATTCTCCATATGATTTATTTTTTAAAGATTGTCATTGGAATAGGGCTGGTAAGTAGGTCACCAACCATTTCTATGGCTCAATAAAACCTGCATGAGCCATAGAACTGGATGTTGACCTACTTACCAGTCCTATTAGCATGTGCTTTTGTAAATTATGAACAACAGAAAACAACACTTGGAAAGATAAGAATTTGACTTACAAGTTTTCTCTTTAAATTCCTGAAACTTTATTATGTGGCAAATGGTTGCTTTCTGAAATTTTTCCCCTTGCTTAGACCAGTCAACATCACAGGCATGTGTTGTATCTGTTGTAATTCAAGTTGGATGAGTACTAAGTTTGGTAATGGAATTCTTAACACATCAATCAGGCCTAATTGAATAGTTAAATCAGCATAAATATTTTGATATGTTCTCTTAATTGCTGAAGGAATTAAGAAGTAGAAGTCTAGAAAGGTCTATGTATCAACATACATATTTATAAAAGTTAAATATGATCTTTGAAACCGACAAACCTTCATTAAACTTAACAGAAGAATAATATCTATCCAAGGCTATCTCAAGAGGCTTTCTCATCGCCTCCTTAAACTCCTGTTCATAGCAACGGACTGAAAAAAGATTTACCATAGTAATTAATCATTTTAATACACGCGTATAACTGGTATAAATTCTGACAGCAACACAATGTTTATAATGCTGACATTCTCTTCAATTCCTAAACAAATTAGTTTATCAGTCACAAGTTCAGTAGCCATGACTCTAAATCTTGCAGTAGTCTGTACATCAGTATTGTAGTGCATCTGGTCTGGTAATTTGAGTCAACCAATATGTAGTGGCCAGACTTTTTAAAAATAAAAATGTACTGCCAAAATATAATTTCAGTGTATTTGTTACGACATAAGGTATAGCCCAAGCAATGAGCTTTACAAACCTGGCCGTTGATTAACATTCAGGGTAAAACAGGTTGTCAGTCTCTTTTTGTCTGGGTCAGTTGCAGCATAGCATTCTAGTAGCTGGTCAAGTCTACTCAGTCTAGAGTGAGTTCTGAAATAAAAAATTTTTTTTTAAAAAGGCAACAAGTTATAAAAAGTGATTTCCCAAGAAGTTATAAAAAGTGATTTCTCTATCTATATTCATATTAACCTTAGACTCAAAGTTCAGCTAAAATTTTCAAATACTCACATATTACTGGTCAACTCTCTGTAAGCAACAAACTCGTTAGCACATTTCTGTATCATGAACCTTTTCCATTCACTCCATATGAAGAGCTTAGACCCTGGTCAGAGAACAACATTTATAGCACAACTAAAGAGAATGTACTAGATACTTGTGCAAATTTTATAAGGATGTTTACCTAATCCGAGTTCCTGTGCAGCGGATGAGTATTCTGATAATTTCCTGGAGAAAGTTTTAAAAATAATACTTTTACATCGACAAAAATTTACAAAAACTAGAAAAAAAAAGCTCTTACTGAACTTTAAAAAAACCATTCTATAAAAGCTTTTATTGTATAAAATAGTGTATATAATAAATTTTAAAACAGTTAAGTATAAGTAAAAAAAAATAATTGGTAAACCAAAGCAATATTTTCTAACAAATGAGATATTCTAACAAAACATATAAGTACCACTCTAAGGAGTCGTTCAGTCCAAAAACTAATTTCACTGCCAGGATTATGTAGCTCATAGCTGGCACATCTATCCTCTTGAAAAGTTTATTTTTAGCAGTAGAACAAAATGGAATCATTTCAGTCAATCGAATACTGACAGTTGCTATTTCCTCTGAAAAATTGTTTTTCAAAATAATAAAATCAGCATAGTCCTGTGTCTTTTTAAAAGTACTGCATAAAATTTCATAAATTAACTTTAACAGAGCTATTAACATATTATGATATAACAATTGAAAATAAAACTTTTCTTTTTCTCTGCAACATAACATAGCATGTCTTTTGGTTTATACAGTTACAAAACAAAAAAAAGTGCAAAGCTTTTACCAGGAAGATTTAGTTCCCTTGTAAAGCGAGTAATAAGAAATCTGAGTTCTGGAGTTGGCAGGTTCTTTAAATCAAGATACACCAAAATTTTGTTGAGTTCCTTGATAAAAACCTTGGAGTCAAAATGGCCCTGGTGGAGAGAGCAAATGATTTACAATATACCACTGAGTTGGGCTTTGGAAAATATAAGTAGAATGAATAGACATTCAGACAAAATTGTATTGGTATAGTATAAAGTGATTGGTAATGCCTTAAAACAGAGGTAAATTTTAGCACATCAGAGAGTAAATTTGAATTAAGTTGATGGATATAGTAAACAAGTTTCGGAAAATTATGACTAAGCAATTGAATGTGAGATTGCTAAATAAAAATTCACAATGCCCCCCCCCCCCCCTATTTATTTAAACTAGATGGTGGAATACAAACGGGAAAGAGGCAAAAGCCCTGACTAAAACTCAACTCATGTATCTAACAGCTCCCAATATTGTTTGAGCCTCCATAATTTTGCAGCCTTACTGTTACCAGGATTAACAGAGCAGGACATGCCAATAGGAGCTACATTCAGCAGACATAGTAAACATAAACTGAAGTTGATAAACTTACTTTCTCATAGGAGAGTAATAGGCGCTACATTCAGCAGACATAGTAAATATAAACTGGTTGATAAACTTACTGTCTCATAGGAGAGTTAATAGGAGCTACATTTAGCAGACATAGTAATCATAAACTGGTTGATAAACTTACAGTCTCATAGGAGAGTAATAGGCACTACATTAGCAGACATAGTAAACATAAACTGGTTGATAAACTTACTGTCTCATAGGAGAGTAATAGGCGCTACATTTAGCAGACATAGTAAACATAAACTGGTTGATAAACTTACTGTCTCAAATAGAGCCTGATCTCCAGCAGAAAGAACCATATCTGATGGGAGTAGGTGGGTACAAGATAAAAATGGCACTTTACTCTCATACACCCATCTGAAATGATCAAAACAGTTTCAAGTTACTCAAAAGTGAATATAATGCTAGATTTGTTGCACTGTTTTTTGTTTATAATTGAATTAAATAAGCATACTAATACAACAACTAAAAACTGACAATTTTAATATTTCAAAATAGTTTGTTTCTAAACTGTTTACAGTTTGATCAGATTTGCTGTGTCTTTTTATAACCACATAAGTTACATTAAATACCAAAGAAGTTCAACAACTGATTACTTTTTATTTTTTTTACTCCTATTCGTAACAGTTTCCCTAAGTAACATTGTCTATATATACCAGTTATGATCTGCATAAATTTGACTCACCTTACAACATCATAAGGTAAGATATCTGGCCTAGTGAGCATTACACCAATGTAACATATGGCAATGGTCTTTTTCATATTCATCCACTCAGGGGAATGACTAGCCTATAGTAAAATAAAGATTTAGTTAAGTACAAAACTTTAATAATTAAAGGGAAGTAATTTTTAAGCTAAATAAATCTTGCCAAGTAGATGGATTAATGGCTTGAAAGATTAAAAAATCAACAGCATTATTATGTTCAAGTACCTGAGCATATCTAGATTCATGATTTTGCTTTTTTTTACAATTTACATACACCACATCAACATCACTGTCATCATCTTCATTTACAAAAACAATATTATCAGTTGTCTTGGTTACAGGAACATCATCTTCATAAAACTCCTCATCATGTAAACCTAGTTCAGTTCCTTCCGGTGGCTAAATAGTACAATGTTATTGCAGAAATTAAATAAAACCATAATATAGTACATACGCACTTTGTATACAGCTAGGTTTATAAATTCTCAAAACAAAAACAAGGCTAATGGTGCGTGTGATTATAATTAGAATTAATTCAGTTTGAATGTAGCCAAACAAGAAAATGTTTAGAAACCCACTTCCATTGTCCAAAAATATCACTTTTTCTTTTTAAACAGCATTATGTAGAATAAAATACCTTGTTCTCTGTCTCAAGAAACGGTCTCTTGTGTCTGTTTAATGGGTAATCCATAGTTCCTCTGTGGAGCTCTCTGTTAAAGAAAATAAATCAATATACTCTAAATGATATACTGCTAGCAAAGCATAGTCTTAGATAAATCTGTACATTTTTAGATAAATAAACTTTTTAAAATAAATAAAACATCTTTTAATTTAATTACCACACTAATTGTTTCTAATGCCTTTTAAAAAAGTTATCAGTTATTTTAAAATTTAGATGGAGCCTACATAAAAAAAGTAGTTCTAACCTCAACCTTCCAACTCTCATCTTTGTAATTATATTAGGCACAACCTTTTCTTTCTTACAAAAAGCAACGCCAAGTTTGCTAAGATAATTTGCCCAAATCATAAACACAGTTTCCTGAAAAAAAAAATGTATCATCAGGTTATTTATCTAAATACCAACCAATCATAAATACAATTAAAAATTATATTTTATTTTAATTTCTAACAAGTTGATGTTGAGGCATAAAAAAACCAGCTTAAAATAAAAACTACAGTCCCCATGATTCTAGGAAACAAACCTTAAAACTTTCAGGTAATCCAAGTTTTATAAATGAATCAGCCTGAGCTAAAATAATGAACTGGTAAGCTTCATATATTGTCCAAGGCCTTCCAAGATCTGACTCTAATGAAAGAAATATATAAAATATTAAAAGCAATAAGTGATGATAAATTACTATAGTTAATAAAATGAAAGTAGTTTAGCTGTATTAGTAATTAGTGATGATGAACATTTTTAACAAATAGATTTTTACGTGAAAGCATCTTTGTTCTTCAAATCTTTTGGAATATAATCATATAAGTACACTCACTTGGTTTAACTGATGTCGCTTTTTCTGTTCTGACTTCATAGCGTGTGTGTATTTGTGACGATTCATCAACTTGCTGAACTATTAGCTCCTAGATGGAATAATAATAAATTATTGAAAATAATGCAACACCAGGAGTTTCAGTTTTCTTTCCTTAGGCCAAATTAAATCTCTGCTACAAGTGTAAATATGCTATTATTAATTTAGTCTGATCTAATATTTGTGTCTGCAAAACTTTGGCAATAAAACTAATGTTTCCATTCATGAAATTCTAACTGAAATAAAAAAAAAAAACGTCACTCAGTGGACTATTGAACATTGTGATCGAATTCTGCCTAAAAAAGAATTGTTGCAATGTAGCCTACATCCATATAGATCAATACAACAATAACGTAACTGATGTAAAACTTTAATTTGTAGGTGTAAGTCTGAATATTTTTACAATTTTTGTAGCCTAGTTAAAAATTAAGAAAGCTGCAAATAATACACAAATCTCGTCAAAAGCCAAATTGAATTACCACAATACTATTCACAAAAAAATCAAATGAAACAAACAATTTGTAAATTGCTGATGCTGACAAGTGAAGTACTTAACCTGACTCTGAGTTCCACACTCTGTACAAAAATAATGTCCATTTTCTTCTTCGTAGTCATTGCTGCTGCACACTGGACATGTGAATGTCATTTTAGTGCACCTTGAAGAATGGAAACAGAAAAATATAGTGCCCTAGCTCTATTAGATAGTAGTTTTTTTTTTTTAATAATATTTAAGATTATTTAATATTTAATAAGTTAAGGCCTAAGTTAGTGTAATTTACTAATTTTAACTCAATATTCATCAACATTGTATTGTAAATTGTACTTGTATTTTTGTATGCAAATTAAGTATGAAAGAAGTGAAGAGCCAGCTGGAATTTGTACTTGAACTAGACGCCTATAGTATTAAAAAAAAAGAGTTAACTTCCATAAATTATTTTATTAACTTGACAGTTGACGGCGTGACTGTCAAGTTTACAAGTTAACCACAGCATTGCTGAGAATAAGAAGTAATGTATTGTTTTAGGTACGTAAAATCGGCCAAGTTTAGTAATGTATGACAAAGTTGCCTCATTGTTAAGGCTTTAATAGAAGTATATTGTGATATATTTGTGTCAAATATTATAGATAGGCAAACTGAATAATTAACCAAAATCAATGGCTAAATTTCAATATACTGAATATAGGCCAGAAATTAACTTTAATTAAACAGCAGCCATTTGTAAAATAGACTGGCTTTCCCTGAATCCAGAGTTTCTTCCATGTATTTCTTCTTTGGGAGGGGGGGGGGGGGGGCCTTCGTGAAGAAGTATCCGCTCCCCACTGAAAATTTTAGTCCGCCCCCCAAAAACACTGCTTGAATCTCCCGCTATGAGTTTACCAAAAAAACTTTATCAAGATGGCTGCTGAAGTTAACGAGCTTTGTTGCAACTGATGAAAACTTCGCTAGTCGTTATTTATATTTATTACTGAAAAGTTTTAATACAATTGTTTAAAAACAGGTACATGAATGAAACTGAAACATTTTTGAAAGTTCTAAATCTTCCTCAAAAGAAATAATTACTAAAATTTAATGACACACCTTTTTTTCACATTACTAGCCTCGGCTGATTTTACGTAAAATCTGGCTACAGCGATAGCGAAGAAAAGAATAAGAAACTTAAAAGTTGACAAAAGAAGAGTTAGATTTATTTAATAATATACCAGATAGATTTTTGCCTCTGAGTATACTATAAGATTCTCCGAAGATGTGCTGTCAGATTGTTGATCGTTGTGATGATAATGACATTAATTAATTAATGGTTACTGTAGGTAGTGTTATTCACATGTTGATGATGTTGATCGGTTAAAAACGAAACCGGATGTTATTTAAAAAAAGACCATTTGCTCTTAAAATAAAAATACGATCGCATTTTTGTATTTGAAATATTTAACAATAACATTAATACTTTTTTTTTAGTAATAGAAACAAGCATTTTCTAGTCAGTATAACCACAGGACGCGTGCAGAGTTTCTTCCAGGCCCAGGCATCTCTACCGCCCCCCCCCCGAACGAAATGGAATTTATATAGACAATATATACTTTTAACAGTGTCCACCCCCCCTCCCCCGGAGAAAAAAGTCTGGAAGAAACACGGGACGCGTGTCGTTGTTGACAGATTTATAAGCAATACTGCCATCAGTCCTTGTCCTTTGTAAGTCTCAAAAAGAGAGTTTGATCCAGACTCCAGTCCCGAATGTCATAGACGTTATTTCGCGTTTTAGAAAACTTGTTTTGATAAATTGAAATAGGAATTGATTAAAATACTCTATTTCGACAGAGTTTAGACAAGATTTTGGAAAAATATCGAAAAATTCATCTACAATTTTTTTTGGGGGGGGGGGGGGGAGGAGGTTTGTAGGCTGAGGTGTGACGTCATGGAAGTGGGGGGGGGGGGGCTGTTGCTATCATCCAGAAATGGATTATAGATATCGATCAAGATTTAGGACTACTCAAGTTTTCATTTTCGCAAATATCTGTACGAAGGGAAATAACACAATTAATATTTTTTTTAAAATTAACATACACTGGTTATATCCCTTTACACATATTTAAAAAGGTGACAGAGTAGTTGTCGACTAAAGTAAAATGTAGGATCCCTGTAAAACAAAACAAAAAAAAAAAAGGGGAGGGGGGTGTTGTGGAATGCTAAAACGACAAAAAATTGCGGGATTTCGTTATGAATAATTCATTTTAATGTCGTCCACAAAATTAATATGTCATTCTTACGGTTGTGAGGGGAGGGCCAAGATATTGGCTAAAACGATGTGTAACGAATTGGCGTAGAAAACTGTCATCATGTCATGTTTGCCTGTCGTCCCTACTGGGACATAGGCCGCTGACAAGAGCTTTCCAGACGTCTCTGTCCAGGGCTAGTCTCTCCAACTGTCCCCAGGTGTATCCAATCTTCTTGGTGTCTTCTTCCAGGTCACGTCTCCAGGTCTTTCTTGGTCTGCCTCTCTTCCTCCTGCCTTGTGGATTCCAGGTGAGGGCCTGTCGTGTGGCGCCACTATTTTGCATCTAAATACCACACTTTTAAATTGCTTTTCAGCTGATTAAACATTTAAATTAAAATCAATACATTTTTATAGTTAGCTATTTCAGTTTAGATTATCCTTTGTAGGCTTATAACTGACAGTTAACAGTAGCACCATTATTTCGTTATTTTTCTTGGGCCTATTCTATCATCTATTTCTAATTAAACTTAACAAAGTACACCAATGTATTCATATGAGAATTACTATTTCTAAATTGTATTATTTATTGTACACCTAGGCCTACATAGTGTAAAATAATTAATGTAGGCTACGCCTAAATCTAAACGATAATGCCTGCTTGTTCATTATATGTACAATTATAATCCTGATTATATTTGAAAAAAAAAATAAACGTTTCAGAGATACAGTTCTGAAAATGGTTGTATACAAAAGCATTAGAAGGCAATAAAGGAAATGAACGGGTCAGAAATGAGCATGGGAATAGGGAGGAACCAATCGTACATTATGATTTATTGGGCCATTCCCGGAAGAACTGCAATACCGGGCCGACCCGTGGCGAGAGCGGAGCAAGCCCCGGGCATCCCGCCGAGATCCAAAAATCAGTTTAATATCGTAGTGACTCAATGAGCCACGTATCAGATATTAAGCTGATAAGAACAGATACTACACTTTGATCTTAGCCAAAAGGCCGAGAAGCGATAACATAAAATTTCCCAAAAATCTTTATATTATTCCCCTTGAATCTTCCAGATTAGATCCACTGATTTTATCATATTTGTTTATGAATATCTAGGTTTAAATATTGTTATGATTGTAAAATCGACGTCTAAAAGATATTATTCCCTGGTAATAATTATTATTCGTAATCTGCCAAATTCAGAAAAGCAATTTTATTATAAGGTTAGCTTTTAGTACGAGGCTGAACGTTTGGTTTTTTTAATGTGTATTATTATGGTTATTGCCATTTTGACTTGAGGGTAGCTTTTCTTACCTGGCCACTTGCGCCACGGTCACTTTAAAAATCCAATATTGATATCGCTTTGGTAGTTACTAGTTTAGAATAATTAGTATTTGGTGCAACAATTTAAAAAATGATAACAGTTTATAAGATTTAAGTTGACTATTGTTTGTTACAAAAACATTATTTTTATGTATTATGCAGAAAGTAGAAATAATATTTGTTTTTTATTTTAGTAGAAATAAACGATAAATTGTAGCATGTTAACGCAACTGTTTAGTAACAAAGAATTGGTCAGCCTGCCCATTTCATTTATGAGCCTAATGGCTCATCACATCCTCCAAGTACATATCAATTTTTTCATCGTATAAATTATTTAAACATTTAATGCCTTATTTCATATGATTTTTGCTTTATTTGTAGTAATTTTTTTCTTGCTTAATGACTTAATAGAATGTGGTGGCTTCAACAATACGGGCGACAAATAACTAAATTATAATTTATTGGTATTGTATCTTTGGCCTAACAAAAAAAAATATTTCGGTGTTGTGTAGTTACGGTATATGTTGAATTATTGTTATGGGCTTTAGACCTATACATATGCAGATCTACGTTGGCATAATATGGATGTTGGGCAAAGACCGTCACTATGACTTAAATTAAATGTCTTATAATTTTGTATGTAAGGGTTGTTTTAAAAACAATTAAAGGTGCTTGTAAAAATGCTATAGGCCTACGTAATGTGTATCCTTAGTCTTAGGTAGGTTTTCTGATAATAGACCTACATGTAGTAATGTACATATAAATATAACTATCTGAGCGAAGCTTGGCCTTCGCTTCAACAGTCACCGGCCTCTTCCTTTACTAGAACTATAGGCCTACTATAGTCTATATGCAATTTGGTGACAGCCCTTTCCCGAATGGTGTCACAGTGTCATCTTCACCCCCTACCCCCCGAGAATCAGTGGCGCCACTAAATTGGGTGTCACCCGGTGCGGCACCTCATGGTGTCGTCCCCTCCCCTCACCACCAAAGGAAAAAAGTATAGGCTGTATATATATATATATATATATATATATATATATATATATATATATATATATATATATATATATATATATATATATATATATATATGCATATGTAGACCTACATTTGCAGTGTTTTTTCCAGACTTTTTTCTCCGTGGGGGTGGGGGGGCACTTGAAATTTTCGGGGGGGCGGTAGACTTTCTCGGGGGCGGGGGGGGGGGGGCTGACAGTGTTAAAAGTATATATTTTCCATATAAATTATATAAATTTCATTTCGTTTCGGAGGGCTGTAGAATTTTTTCGGGGGGGGGGGGGGAGGTGGTTTTGCCCCCCCGAAGAGATGCCTGGAAGAAACTCTTTACATATATATATATATATAGGTATATATATATATATATATATATATATATATATATATATATATATATATATATATATATATAATTGCAATTGGTGACACCTCGACAACCTAAGATTTTGCCTAATGTTGTCAATTTGTGCACACATTATTTTAATCCACCTGTTTTGCACTTGGTGTTATCCCTCCTCCCTGGTAATATCTTTAGTGTTCACTGTTATTACTAACGATATTTATCGATAGTCGGTTATTATGACAGCTGTATGTAACATTGTTTTTTTATAGAGTTGCATGTTTAGGTCATGGTGTCACCCCCCTAAATGGTGTCACCCAGTGTGTTCCTTTTGTTCCGCACCCCCGCCTCGCAACGCCATTGCCATAAGTCTTAGCCACCATCTTGGCTGACCCTGGAGTCATTTAAAAAAACTTCTTTGACTCGGCTTCTTGTAATTTTCTGAAGATGAAGAGTTGCAATAAGATAATGTCTTGATCTTTAGGATAAACCTCTTACTCTTGTACATGTGCTAGAAATATTTATAAGCAGTGTACACAAAACAAATAAGACAAATAAGTTTTAAAAAGACATAAAATGGCATGAAAATAGTTTTATTTACAAATTTTAACATAGCATCATGAAAGAGCACTAAATGAGCATGTTTTACTAATTCATGTAATTATGAAATAATGATTAAAAGATGGTTACACTGAGCCAGCTATATTGTTAAGAGGTTAAACTGGATACTTACACTTTTTAAATTAATGTACAGGGCGAGAGGTGGTATTCAAAATTCAAGTGAATTCATAATAAAAAGTGCAAGTTATTTCATAAATAGAAAATATTTTAGAAGTGACATGAATAACTTGTTTTATTAAGATGATCATGCTGGGGGTTTATTTAACCATAGAAGACATTAGGGCCTGTTTCATATCTCACACACAAGCCATTTACATTCTCAAACACACCCATCAGATCAGTGAGGGGGAAAACAAAAACAAAATACATTATTATAAGTAAAAACAACCTCGCTAATGTAGACATGTGATGAACATTTGGTTGAGTACACGCATGAATGAACCAGAGATGGATGCCTGAGATTTTCTTAAAGGAGAGATGAATGGTGTTGGAGACTGATGGTGGCATACATAATAAGACAGGACAAAACATACAATGGTTATAGTGACTGGTGTTTGAGTCAGACATCTCATTCAACAGACAAAAGATGCACCTGGAAGGTTTCTATCACAACTTTACACACATTATTTACAGCTTGTTAAATTTGACCTGACTGTCTATAAATAACATAACATATAAGAAAATTAATTATAAACTATGGCAATATAAAAAAAAACAATCTTTATTTATCACTAGAACACTTGTCAATAACAAGGTCAAGTTCAACTTTTTGGATCAGTAATGTTGTGAGGTTGCTTGCTGACATAAAGAAATAAATTTTAAAATCTGTACAAGCAGTTTTACAGTAACACAATCTTTAAAGCCTACTCTACAAAAAAAAGTCATGCAGCTAAGGGTAGTAAGTAAGCCTAAAAAAAAATTGCAAAATAATAAGCCATTAAACCATCACCTTTGCACAAGATTTCTCATTCACATAATTTATGATTTACAATATTTATCATTCACAGAACCATCCCCTTTACACAAAATTAATCACTTAAAAAACCATCACCATCTAAACATCTTCAAACGGAAAATGAATACAAAAGTACTATGTAAACAAAAGCTTAATAAACTAAAATATTTGGTGTGACCAAGAACCAATATACTATCTCATGTTGTGCTAGCACAGGTATGCCTCAACACTATGTTAAGTCCAAAAATCCATCAGGTGGTTCAAAATTTGTTGGGCTACCTAAAAACTACAACCCATGGGGTAATTCAAGAAGTGTTACTGTTAAACTCAAAACTATCACCTGGTAAAGCCATAGAAAGATGGGTTATTCTGCTCATACTACTTCATGGGTTTCATGAAACACATTGCACATCCCAGTTTAATTTTATAAATTACAAAACTGCTGAGCTACAAACTTGCAAACTTTAACAAGATATAACACGAGTTATACAACAATGAAGTCACAATCATATAATTCTAAACAACCTTAGAATGGGATAGGTGAAGAACAATTTCTGTGCAAAAAATTATCAAATTTCCAATTTTAAATGCTGGATCACACTTCTCTATTCAGTGTAAAAAAAAAGTAGTTTCCTAAAATGGTAATACAAAATGGGTTAATTATTATACCAATCTAAAAATAACAACGAAAGGGAACAGACAACTAAAAAGAACAAGATGTAAACTCTGAATTCAGCTTTTTTCTTGATGGCCTGAAAGAAAAAAAAGTTCAACTAAATCATCTAACAAATTTCACAAATTAAATCATACATTTAAAAGCACCTTGAAAAGTTAAACATTACTAGTTATATAACATTTTGCTCTAAATTTTTGAATGCACAAAAATACAACAGTAGATCTAATCAATATACACACCAAATGTAGGAAATAAAACAACTAAATAGCGGCATATGATAACATATGATAAGCCGCGGGTTGGCTCGTACAGACTAACTGGCCACACTGAGACCTGTCAGGGTGAGTAACTGAGGTTGGGCAAAGAGCTGACCACTCTGTCACTTCATATGCAGAGGTCACAATAACAACTCTATCTGCCACAAGGACCATACTTTTTACTCTACTGTTTGTTTTATTGGCCACCATCATAACAAATAGCTAACTTTTTAGTACCTTACAGTAATCACAAAAACGTCTTACCTCTCTAATCTCTTCATTGGCATCTTTAATATTTTCTGTGGTTCCTACTACTGTATTTGCTATAGTATTTATCTGAACATCCTGATTTAAAAAAGAACAATAATGGTTGCAATCAATAAACATAAACAAAACATTATATTCATTTATTTAAAAAAAGTTATTGTCATGTCAAAAAAAAATATCACCATAAAATATACCGCTGTCATTTTTATTTCATGAGAAAAAAATCAACATCTGTTATATTACCTGCTCTAATATTTTCTCTGTAAAAATTTCTTGTAATTTGGCAATCTCCACAACTTGACCCTCTATTTGTCTAAAAGAAAAAATGGTTACATTTTACAGTTTATATTAATTAAAAATGGAGAGAAAACAAATTTTCTGTAGACATTCCCTGATGTTAATAAAGATGAAATTAGATACAGTATAAGCTATTAGTTGAGTATTAGAAGTCCATTATAAATTGGAATCTAGACTATTATAAATTGGAATCTAGACTTGATGATATTTCCCTTTTAACCTTTAAGAAAAAAATGAGCAAAAAAAAAAAAAAAACTTCATTGATGCTTTTAACCCAAATATAATTTTAAAACAAGCATTTGCAATTGCTGTATGTACTTAAGAATATTTTATTACTTACTTGACTTCTTCAATAATACTGTTCATTTCTTCATATAGCACCTTGTTTTCTTGTTCAAACTAGTTTTAGGGGGAAAAAATACTACATGAATAGCTGGAAAAAATTAGTACGGTTAAATCTGACTAAATAAAAGGATAACTTTTAAAATTTACCATTTGAGCTTCTTCTGGTGATATTTCATCTTCATTATCATATGACTGTCTTTCAATTATATCTTGCTGGAAAAGATCTGGCTTCTGTTTTTCAACTAAATGGAAATAAATAGACATTTTAAAAAAAAAGAATTCCTACAAAACTGTCAAGTTATCTTTTAATATAAATTTAGGATTTGATTTTTACCCTGTGGTCTCTCATCACTGTTAGCTGGACTTTGGTCTATGTTGAGATCTTTTTTTAACTGGTTGCGAGTTAAATGCCTGTGCTTTCTCTCGGGCTCAAGCTTAGATCTGGCGTGATACAAAAAAATGTTTTGAACAATAGGGAATAGAACAGTAAAATGATGTTATATATCACAATATCAGTGTGCATTAGAAGATTAATGTCAACAGAACAGAAGATTTAATTAGTTATATTTAAAATGTAAATGCTGGTGGTATTTATAATTTACAGAAACTATATAAAGCTTTGAAAATCAAATACCTACATTCGTTTTCTATCCACAACTCGCTTAACTCTAACTGCTTTTTGTTCACTGTAAATTTTGCAAATAGCTAAAAAAGAGGAAGTACAAACTTAGAAACCTATTACAAGACACATAATGGAGATTTTGGCACAATGTGTTTAATCTTAATATTTTGTAAAAGTAGATAGCTTACTCTTCCACTTAACAAATATGGTGGTTAACAAATATTAGATGCTAGCTGTATCTTTTACCTTTCAGGTAAGCTTCAATTAATATCATAACAGCATTTCGATGTTCTTTCACTTGAGGGTGGACTTTCTGATGATCTGTTTCAACTCTGAACAAAATTATCATTTCTTTGCACTTCTTAATAATTTCTTGAGCTTCAGAATCTATTTTATCTCTGTCAGCTTCTGACATTTCTTGACCCTTGCTTAACAAAAGGCTGCAAATAAAAAAAAAAAAAAAAAAAAACTAAGCATTTAAAAGAATTGCAATGTTTAAAAACAAAAGATAAATTTAAACCACTGATTTATTATTATTGCTCTATTCACACTGAAAATATTGAAATATAAATGTATCCATATTTTTTCATTATATCTGTTAATATATGACAGAAACTATTAAAACTCAGACACAAGTAGGTATTTAGAAAAAAAAAACCTCATTTCTATCATGGTATATCATGTTTCAAAGATGAATGGCGTAAACCATATATTGGGAATAATTCTTGCTGTAGGCCTATTTAATTAAAGACTCGAAATTTTTTTGCAATGTAGCTTAATGAATCATAACACATTTCCTTACCTTCCAGAGTTGACATAATTTTTCCTGTTCTCCAACAAAAAATCTCTTAGCTTTGTGATCATAAGCACCTGCAACATATTACAAAATATGCACATACACTATATCTCAAAATACATAAGTTATTGTTTAAAACCTCTGAGATAAATGAAAATTATGCTAGATAAGTTTTGTTAATTCTTATTGTGATGCCGTTAATATTTTAACTTTTAGCTTGATGATATTTTTATGAGCTTTACTCTTAGGCCAACATTTTTAAACAAACAAAGATAATAAATTTATATTCTAATTAGACTAGTTTTAAGTCTACTATTGACAATAGAAATATTCATATTTCATACATAACGAAAGATTCATTGTTGTAGTAGTAAAAAGTTTAAAAAAATTAAGCAAATGCCTATTAGTAATAATAATATAAATACACTCATTTACACTGTATGCTAGTGTATACCATACTGTATAATTTATAGAAATTTATATTTTATACTGTGAGAATTAAAGTAGGCCTACAGAATGTAAAGATACAGTACAGTAGTACACGCAACACTGTTTCTATATTATTATATAAGCCTATTGAAAATAAGTGTAGTACTATAGGGCTATCAGTCAGTATCAGAGTATCAGTGCCTATCGTGTCACCATAGCCTAGATTTCTATTTTCAATTGCTTTGCCTTGGAAATTCAAGGCATTTCACTTGTGATTTCACAATTTGCATGCAGGGTAGGCCTATCTCTTTTAATTTTTTTTTTCTACTTTCTTATTTCTAGAAATAAAAATTAGGACGAGCAAGGCAAGAGCAGTCTTCAACCAACTAAAAAATGTTTGGGGTTCTGGAGATTTAACCCTTGGAATAAAAATCCGGATCTTCAACACACTAGTAAAACCTGTTTTACTCTATGTAGCTGAGACATGGAGAATAACTGCTATAAATAAGAAGAAAATACAATCATTTATAAACACATGTTTCAGAAAGATCCTGCGAATTCGATGGCCTAAAACCATCAGAAATTATGTTCTATGGCAACGGACAAATAAACTGCCAGTTGAGGTAGAGATCCTTCAGAGAAAATGGAAATGGATTGGCCACACACTCTCAGGAAGCATAAGCTGCATACTGCATAAAATGCATAGATCTATGTATTAATTAGATTATTAGGCTATTATTATTATTATGAATATGTAATTTTATGTATCCAGGAGGGATGACAGGCAAACCTAACCTGTCCTAACCTATTTCTAGATATCTATATCTAGATTCCAAATCGAGAATCTAGATCTAGATCTATATCTGGAATAGATTTAGAAATCTAGATCAGCTTACCAAGTTCTTTGCTTTTGTTTCAAAATCACCTTTGGCCAAAGTTTCGTTTTTTTTGTTCAAATCATTCTGAGTCTGAGGAGCATCTTCTGGAATAAGGTCTTTTAACACTTTATTTCTAGATTTTAAGGCTTTAACCGTGGCTTTGAATAAATTTGTTACATCTGCCATATCTAGATCTATATTTAATGTCAGATCTAGTTCTAATATAGAGCTAGATCTAAATCTAGAATCTAAAAGTTCTACAACGAAGACCCGCAGTCGTACACGGTACACTAGTACAGCTGTTTACTTCTAAAGATTACGTGTTACTCTTCAAGGTAGAAGGGTAAAAGTGATTTGGTTATTTAAAAATTTGGATTGTTATTATTTTGTTTATAGTGTTGGTAGTACTTAACTATGTACGGAAGGCCTACTGTACAAAAACAATACAATGTTGGATTTTTATGAGGGCCTATCTGTTTTGTTATGAATGTTTAGTAAGTGGATCTTAATTCTAGATCTAGTCTAGATATAATATAGACTACACTTTGTGCTATTACTACATCTAGGCCTATGCTTTGTTTAACTTCAACAGTTTATTAAATTAAATATTTAAATTCAAAACTTTACCTATTTAAAAAAATTAAAGGTTATCTATCGTTTTAGGTACGTAAAATCGCCCGCGACTAGTAATGTGAAAAACAGGTGACTCCTTACATTTTAATAATTATTTCACATTTTGAGGAGGATTTATGTTTTGAAAAATACAAAACTGTTTCCTTGTTTCATTTATCTATGTACCTGTTTTTAAACAATTGAATTAAAACTTTTCAGTAATAAATGAACACCAGCGATGTTTCCAACAGATGCAACCATGCTCATTTACTATAGCAGCCATATTGTTAAAGTTTTATTTTTATAGACATATAGCGCGAGATTCAGGCGGAAGTCACTCTATTTTACAAATGGCTGCTGTTTATATATATAGCAAATCTTGCTTGCAGACACTGCTGTTTAAAGTTAATTTCTGGCCTATATTGATGTATTTAGCCATTGATTTAGGTTTATTATTCATTTATCTATAATATTTGACACAAACATATCACACTATACTTCTATTACAGCCTTGACAATGAGGTAATGTTTTCGTACATTAATAGCCGCGGGCGATTTTACGTACCCAAAACGATAGATTACCAAATTAAAATATTCAAAACGAGCCGGCCCGCGGCATAACATACGCCGCTATTTAGTTGTTTCTAATTTTCAATAATTCATAATTTGTGAATTCGACAGTACCAACGCTGACACTGAAAATATTTCTTTAAAACACTATATAAGTAGCTCGTTAAGGACCATAACCCCCCCCCCCCTACGTTTAAAATCGTTGGCTCTGCTTGTAAACATTTAGAGTGAACACAGCTCACTAAAACCATGTAGGGGTGGGGAGGTAGGGAGAGCGTTTGCAGCTTGTTTTCTAACGGCTCGAAGAGGAGAATTATATATATAGATATTTATTAATTTAATTTTAATTAATAATTATGACAGATTGTCAGATAAACCAGGACCTGAGGCCACTGTCACTGTGTCTGACCAGTATTCAGTGAATCAGTATGCTCATCTGAGAAAACTATCACTATCTAATATCTAATCTATCATTTCTATGAATAGCTCAATACTTTAAAACTTTAATAATAAATAATAATAATTTGTTATTTATTGAATAGGGTCCTACTTCACAACTACTTGTGATTTATGATTTTTTTTAGAAGAAAATCTGATTTTATAATCCCTATTTTATTATTTTACATTTAGACCTAAATCTAGATTTATTTTTTAAATAATAAACATCAACACTTGGTTGGATGATTATTTATAATAATGAAAATGACATGACATGGATCTATGGCCTATGGTACATTTAAATCTATTATTTAACTCTTAGTTTGTTTTAGTTAGTAGTATTTTCATACGATTATACAATATACTATTTACATGATTAAAGTTCAGCTATTCCTATATACATTTTTCATTTTCAGATAGTCTGTACTGCAATTACAAGTAAGCATTAAAAGAAACATGAGTGCTAACGGCAGTCAAGGTCTCACTCTCGAGCAGCAGAAAAGAATAGAAGAAAACAGACAGAAAGCCTTACAAAAACGAGCAGAGAAGCAAAGCCCAGTGAAAAATAATCCCACATCTGCCTTTAATAAACCCACTAATGCTGCAGCAAGTGTGGATTCTCTAAAAGCAAGAATAGAAACCAATCGAGAGAAAGCTATGGAAATCCGAAGTGCAAAAGTTACAACAGTTTCTAATGATTGTTTAAACATTAGTAAAAGTAATTTCTCCCAGACTTCTGTTATGACCAATTTTAGCTTAAAAAATGTCCAGCCTAACAATAATGATCATGAGAAAGTTGGTTTTAACCAATATGCATACAAGAATTTTAAGGGTCAACAAATAAACAATTCTTTACTCAACAAATTACCTCAAAATGGTGATAGCAAAAATAACAACCACAAACCACAAAACACAAAAGGTAATTCAATAATGTCTAAAGAAAAATTTTTTGGACTACAACAAAAGTTAAAAGGAAAATGTGTACTTATCAGCAAAAACATGTTCTGCGTTGATGTTGGGTACAGCACACCTCTCATTGAATACTTCAAGAAGATGAAAACCAAAAGCTATGGTAGGGATTTCACAAATTTGTAGTCAGCTCAAAATATGATAATTCTTATTTCAAAAAATCAACTGTAAAGAATACATAAACTGACTAGTACTGAATATTTATAAAACTTGAAACTTAATTTAAACTTTTCCTTTATTTTCCAGATTATGCTTCCAAGTTATGGTCTTTCAAGCTAGAGGAGTATAGTGAATTTAGTATGTAATTTTAAAATAAACAAAATCTTTATTATTTTAATTTATTTGTTATTCTGGTACAACACTTAAAGTCCCTATTTATATAATGATAAAATATTTACTTGTTATTTAATGATAGCACAAAATAATACTATCTTCTTTTGTCAAAACATTTTATATTCATGTTTAAAACAATATTTCAGAATATACCTCTGCCACTTATTATTGTAACCAGGAAACTGTTTTGTATTCTTTTAGTGAAAGGTGCAGCTAATTTCCAGCCTGATATTGAAATAGAAGGACTTCCACGATGGATCCTGAAAACATTTGGTTCACCTATAGAAGAGGAGGAAATTATACCTGAAGCAGACCTGAGCAGTGTAGATGGATGTCTAGTCCAGACACTTCTGCCATTTCAGAGGCATGGGATCAAGTAAGACACTTTATAATGACTATTGATGGGTCCACTTATTCTTTATATTAAGTTATTAATTTATGAATATGCGATTATTTAACTCTAGTCTCTAAGTTTTGTATAGATCTAGTTTTTGATTTTTTGTTGGTGGAAGTACACAATGACACAAATATAGATCTAAGATAGATTAAAAACAGTTTATTCTGTATGATAACAATTCACAAACTGGTTTTTTAGTGTTGCAATTCATCGCAATGGAAAGTTATTATTGGCTGATGACATGGGGCTTGGAAAAACTCTTCAAGCTATATGCATAGCTTGCTACTATAGAAAAGAATGGCCTTTGCTTGTTGTCTGTCCATCTTCAGTTCGTTTTGATTGGGCGCAGGTGAATATTGTAAAATATTGTAAAATTTAATTATTTTGGTTTAATTATTATTTAAATTAACTAATTTTCTTTAGGAACATTTGAACTAATATTAAATTACCTAATATTTTGAATAATATTTAATTATTAATAATGTTTTGAAAAATACTTTGAAAATTACATTCAATTATTAACTTTCTATGCACAGCAAATATGCAAATGGCTTCCCAGTGTCGCAGCCTGTGATGTTAATGTAATAGAAACAACAAAGATGAGCGCAACTTCTGGACTGGTCAATATTATTAGCTATGACCTACTTTCAAGGAAAGGCTCTGAAATTCCTGTAGATTTTTTTAAAGTTATAATTATGGTTAGTTGTTTTTCTTTTCTCTGTTTTAAATTTTTGTTTGTTAATTCAACAAAAAGATATTAAATATTCACTAATTTATATTTAAAAAATGTATACATGCCTTTGTGTAATCTGATTTATTTTCTTCTACACCAAAAGGATGAATCTCATTTTCTAAAAAATGCTAAAACTGCGAGGACCAGAGCTGCTCTCCCTTTGTTAAAGGTGAGTTTTTGCTTTAGCATTATTTGATGTCTTTAATAACTAACATTAATACACATATTATAAGTTATTACATTAATCAGAGCACATTAATCAGAGTTATACATTTCTATGTTTGTTATTATTATTTGAAATTATATCAAATGGAAACAAATATATAGAATATATAGAATATCGTTGTTTGAATTGTTAAAAAACACAAAGAATCAACTGAAAATAATCAGTAAAGCTGGTATAATTTATGCTTATCTGTCCATCACTGTGGCTATTCAGCTCATGGATGGCTTTAAGAATACATGACAACCTTTCATGTGGACCTATCTGATCTTTTTTCTCTAAAGTTTGTACTCCAAGCTGTCTCCACACTGTCTATCCATCTTAGCCTTGGTCTGCCTTTTAGTCATTTAACTTTGGGGTTTAATTACAAATAATTTTCCCCCCGCTTTGATTCTTAATTTAGGCTTAGCATTTAAGCAATAATAAATTTAAAAATTTCTAATGTGTCATCAATTCAAATAGCAACTCTAATGAATGTAATTAACGAGGAATCGTTTGACTTTTGAACTTACGTTAATTTCTAGCAGTCAGTTGACCACTTATAAACTAAACAAAATAATGGTTATTATCTAAACAAAAAAGATATTTTTAACAAACATCCTTAGCCTCATTAAGTTCATGAGCATAGCTGGAAAAAAATCCAGTCCACCATTTTATTTTTCAGAGTGCCAGACGGGTGCTCCTGTTATCAGGGACCCCAGCCCTGTCAAGACCAAACGAATTATTCTGTCAAATTACAGCCATTTGTGCAGATCTCTTCAAGTTCCACGACTTTGGTTTGAGGTACTGCAATGCTAATCAGGTATATGCTCACATTTCCATCGACATTTTTAATTTAAAGACTCACATTTAAATAATAAAGTAAATGTCCACATTTGTTCAAATATCTATGAATTTCAATACATTTGTCTGTTAAACCAGGGGTCGGCAACCTGCGGCTCGCGAGCCGCATGCGGCTCTTTTGGTGTCCAGTTGCGGCTCTTCAGCTCCATGCACAAATATTAATAATTATATTATTTTAAAAACTCATAAAAATATTAGTCTGCATCACTCGGTAATAAACGATATAACATAAGATATAAACAATAAACATGCACTATTTTATTAGAATATTTAGTTACTCCCTATCTCAATGTACATCCTATTACATTGTCCATTCCGAATCGAAACATTCAACTTCACAGTGGATATCACAAAGAAACTAAACCAGCTATGTATAAAACTGAAAGGAAAACAGAGCCTATGTGTTGCTTGAAGAAGTGGTTTGTTTCGAAAAAAAATAACTTTTTTGTTGAATACATGGGTGTGCGGTAAATTACTTAATTACGAAAAAATCTGAAAAAATATCGTTATGGAACCAATGCTACTATTCAATCACTTCAGCATTAATATAAACAAAATGAAGGATGTTTTCACTGAGAGATTTGAGCTATTCAAAACAAATGCAAGAACTCTGACTTATATAGTAGATCCTCTCAACACAAATGCAAATGAGATTATTTCATATATTCAAAGCTATTTATTTTAAATTATAGTATGATATTTGTTTAGGATTATGTATATATATATATATATATATATATATATATATATATATATATATATATATATATATATATATATATATATATATATATATATATATATATATATATATATATATGGCTACAGGACATTACCCCCCTGGATATTTCCCCCCCGGACATTTCCCCCCCGTATTTACCCCCCGGAGCAATTACCCCCCTGTCAATTACCCCACCCCCCCCCCCCGGGGAATTACCCCCCCCTCTCAAGTTAAAATCCTAACTCTAACTAGAATTTTATACCTATATACTACTTTAATCCAAACCTTAAGAAAAAGACCAAAACCTAAGCATCCACCTTAGCCTAAAACTTCACACAAAACCAAAACCAAAGCTAGACACAACCCTAACTCTAACACTAGCTCTAACCCTAACCCAAATATTAACCCTAACCCTAGCCCTAGCCCTAACCCTAATCCTAACCCTAACCCTAACCCTAACCCTAACCCTAACCCTAATCCTAACCCTAACCCTAGCCCTAGCCCTAGCCCTAGCCCTAGCCCTAGCCCTAGCCCTAGCCCTAGCCCTAGCCCTAGCCCTAGACCTAACCCTAACCCTAACCCTAGCCCTAGCCCTAGCCCTAACCCTAACCCTAGCCCTAGCCCTAAACCTAACCCTAAACCTAGCCCTAACCCTAACTCTAACCCTGTCCGGGGGGGGGCAATGTCCTACTGGGCGGGGGGTAATTGACAGGGGGGTAATTGACAGGGGGGGGTAATTACTCTGGGGGGTAATGTCGGGGGGGAAATATCCGGGGGGTAATTGACAGGGGGGAAATGCCCTGTTCCCATATATATATATATATATATATATAATCCTAAACAAATATATTATTGACATAAAAATGTTAGTGGCTCTTTAAAAACCGGGTAATGTTGTAAATCGTAACTTTTGGCTCTTTAGACTCAAAAGGTTGCCGACCCCTGTGTTAAACTAAAGTAAAAGCGCCCAGTTAAATATATTGCAAAGAAATTTCATCTTTTCTTTGAGACTTTTCTCAGTCTGTTACTGTTGTGTGTAATCAGACACTTTTTATCGAGATGTTTTTAATTAACTTTATTTATAAGTTGCCATGGGGATGGGACTATACTGGTTCATCTAACATGCAAGAGCTGCAGTTATTGTTAGAAAAAAAGATAATGTTAAGGTATGTTTTGGTTCAGTATTTAGAAAGTTTGTTTTAGACGTTTTTATATTTTATATAGAAATAAATGTGAATGCAAGTTAAAGGTTTGAGGTTTTAAGTTATAGACCATAATTTAATGCGTAGAATTGAAGTGTAACTAATTTAATTTGGATTTTTAAAAAAACAAACCATTTTGCAGACGGCAAAAGAAAGATGTCTTATCTCAGCTTCCTGCCAAAACCAGACAAATATTTGTCCTGGATCACAGTTTAGTAAAGAAAAATAAAGATCTTAATGTTGCCTCCAAGTTGATGCACAGCAAGAAGTTAAAGGTAAATATTGCAAAATGAAAGCAATCACAATTATTCAGCTACCTTTGTATGTAATACACCATCTAAAATAAGCCAGAAATGCAGCTATACCTAAATAAAACTTTAAATCTTTATCGAAACATATTTTAACAGGGTTCAGACAAGCAAGGAGCTCTTCTTCAATATTTTAATGAAACTTGCAAGGCTAAATTAAATGCTGTCAGGTAAAAGAATAATTTCTACTTTGTCTTAACACAGTTTAAAGTAAATGTTATGTAAATAAATTTGTTATTTCTAGAATTGAAATTTTAAGAATTTTGACATGACCCTAAGACATTTTCCTTCAGGCAATACTTGTTGGATCTGGTAGAGTCAGATAAAAAGTTTTTAGTGTTTGCTCATCATAAAGAGATGCTGGACTGCATAGAGGATGGAATTAAATCTCAGGTATGTTAAAACATGATTGACTAATAACTGACAAACTTAATTAAACATTTAGCAAAAACCAAAGAAGATTTCTTGACTTTTATGCTGTGTATTTTTATAAGTTAAAATGTAAGTTTGAGATAAAAAAAATTATAAAAATACGAAAACCCCACATTCTATTTTAATAATTGACATGTAAAATAACATATAAATAATAGGTTAAAGAATGAAACATATTACCTAAATTTAAAGAAGTAGAAATCTATTAAAAATATGGGTTATAGTTATTTAAAAAAAACTTATTTCTTAAGTTAACTCCCTCTAAATGTTGCAGTCTCCAGACATCAATTACATCCGAATAGATGGGAGAACATCATCTGAGCTCCGCCACGAGTTTTGTAAAAAGTTCCAGACAAACGACTCCTACAGGGTAGCCATACTGTCCATCACTGCGGCCAACGCTGGACTTAACCTGTGTGCTGCCAGTCTTGTGATATTTGCTGAGTTGTTCTGGAATCCAGGGGTGGGTAACTCTTTTATTTGAGTTTTTTTGGAATCCAGGGGTGGGTAACTCTTTTATTTGAGTTGTTTTGGAATCCAGGGGTGGGTAACTCTTTTATTGAGAGGAGAAGTTATTCCTGCTTCTAATAATAGAATTGTTTATTACTTAGTTCACTAAACTTATACTAATTAAGTAAATGTGCACTCCAACAAAGTATTCCCTATATATAAAAAAATAAAATTACATCTCAAAGTATTTTAAGATAATTCAATAATAATATAAAGCTGTTGATTTAATTGTATTAAATATTTCCAAAATTATCCTGTTTTATACATTTAAAATTTATTTTCCAATATTTTCTGGAAACTATTTTTAAACCCTCTATTCAGCGTTGGACATGTTTTGTATCTTTCAGATATTAGTGCAAGCTGAAGACATGTTTTAAATCTTTCAGATATTAGTGCAAGCTGAAGACATGTTTTGAATCTTTCAGATATTAGTGCAAGCTGAAGACATGTTTTGAATCTTTCAGATATTAGTGCAAGCTGAAGACATGTTTTGAATCTTTCATATATTAGTGCAAGCTGAAGACATGTTTTGAATCTTTCAGATATTAGTGCAAGCTGAAGACAGAGCTCACAGAATAGGGCAGGAAGATTCTGTGACTATACAATATTTGCTGGCTAAAGGGACGGCTGATGACTACATTTGGTGAGAAATTTGTATTAGTTGGGTGGGGTGAGGGAGAAGAGATGATGATGTTTTATTGTATATATCTCTACACCATCATGTGTATTTGGGGGGGATTGACTCTTATAAAAAGGAATTCTGTACCCAATTCTCCAGTGGTAAATATATAAATAAATAACACAACTGACACAGTTCAAATTTAAATGTTAATAGACACAAACATAATCCATCTATTCCTAATCCTAACTCTGCTGTCCTACACTTTACTTCTACTATCCCAACTATCTCCTACACCTAACAACATCTATATTCAACTGCTTTCCAACACTTAACTAACCAACTCTGCTCTCTTTAACCATCTGCTCTAACTCTTAACAGCTGCTAACTCCTGATGCTTGGTCAGCTGACCATCACAAATGACCAGTCAGTCGTTCTACTACAATTCTTTTGGTTCTGCTTGACCAATCTCTATATATGACAAGCTAATTCTTAGCTTCTACATTTTTTCCTTTCTATTTAACCTACTTCTTTTGTCATTACATGTCGCCCTTCCTTCCTTAAGCTGACAAATTATATTTATCAGCTTCTACTACTAATATCTCAACAAATAAATATCTTTCTAACTTTTTAATCTACACTACCCCTTGCTCTCCATAACATGGTTGGATTTAAAATATTAAAAAAAAATTGTTTTTAGGCTTTAGCTGAGTTAATTTAGATTTACTTTACCAAGTTTGGCTTACAATGTAATTGTATTTTAAATGTTAGTATTTAGCAGATTATTTTAACTGATGTATGTGTAGTATAAATATACTTTATCTTTTAGGCCTCTTGTCCAGACAAAGCTTAACGTCTTGAGCAAAGCTGGTCTGACTAAAGATAATTTTTCTGATGCCGACACTACACATGTGGCTGTAAGTTGCTCATTACAGCTAATCTTTAATAACCATTTATTCATACCTGGCTAAATTTTTTATTACTTCTATTAAAATTTAAAGAAAAAAAAATACTTTATGTATAAAAAAAGTAAAGCACTCATCACTAAGCAGAGAAGTTGTGTTCTTGTTTTCTTTGACCTCAAAATACACATTGATTGTATGGTCATCACTGTGTCCAGCAAGCTTTACATTCCCTGAATCAAGTCAGCTATCAGTGAGAGGTCTAGGCTGAGTTTTTTTTTGTTCAGGGAGCCAAGCTTAAGATTTTTGCGTTAGCAGTCATACACACTACTGTTCAACCATGCCATCTTATCAGCCTTATCTAACTAATCCATATATGAATGTTGTTACAGGACAAAAACCAGAGTAGTATCTTGGACCTGTTCATGTCAGATTTCATTGACAACTCAGGTCTAGAGAAGTTGCAGGGAGATAACTCAGGTGTAGAGAAGTTAGAGGGAGACAACACAGTAATAGAAAAGCTACAAGGAAGTGCCCTTACATCAGGTTGAATTTTTGTTTTTGTTATTTTTTAACAGAAACTCTGATTACAATTTTAAGAGCAGGTTATTGAAAAATGTTTTACTGTACTTACACCATTAACTTGTTCAAATGTATTCTGTGACTCTAGAATCCCCCAAGTCTAAGCGAGCTCGAACTGTTTCTCCCACAAAAAAGAGCCACTCACCCATCAAGTTCAAAAGGTCAGCAGCTGGGTCTCAGGCCACTACCCCAACCAAACGCCAGGCAAGCTTAGCAGAATTTTTCCCCTTGACTCCCCCAAAGAAGAGTTTGCGATTAGATGAGGAAAGTGTTACGCCACCTGGATGTACAGGTAGGACTAACCTACATGGGGCAGGTACTAGTGACATTATTACCACACACGACCCTGAGGGTACAGGTACAGATGACCTTGGTACTACTGCAGGTACCATTGACTTAAGTGGTGCTGGAACTAATGAAGCACTGTTGTCCCAAGATGAAATCGCAGCTTGCCAGCAGTTTGACTGGGATGATGATTTTTGAGACAGGTTTAAACTCTATTCACTGTTTTGTTTTGGTAAAATTTAAAGAAATAAAAAAGAACAAATGGTAAGACTAATGCTGTCTTGTTTTTTCCTATGCCGAGTAGGCATATACTAGCCATGTATATTTTTGTTCAATTATTCATTGAGTTAGTTCCCTTTATTGAAAGTCTTTTGTAAAATAAAACAGTTAAACACAGATAATACTGTGGGCTTTAAGTCAAAGAGTAAAACCTCTAAATCTGGTTCTTCCTAGCCTGGCTTTCAACTGGTATGATGGTAAACTTTATCAATTATTGTATGTAGTATAAGTTTTAGACTGCTGGTGTAACAACACACCTTTGACTCACTCCCAGTGAAAAACAACTTTGAAAAAATCTTTTATTTGGTGTGATCACTAGTCAGATGTTTTCTTGTATTGCAAAGTTTGCAAGAAAAGATTATGCAAGATATGTTAAGATGGTGTGTGCAAGAAGATACTTTAAAAGTGTTTTTCTACAGCTGGTGGAGGATTGGGTTTGGTCAATTGTAGATCACATGATTCCTTACTCAAACTTCTTCTGTGTATTTGCCATGCTCAGGTCCGGAGGATGCTCACTGTAAGTCTGCCCATCTTAGATGGGTACCTGACTTGAATCAGTGAAAGTAAAGACAGATGCACATAGTGCTGACTTGACTGTGCACTTAGTGCCGACTTGACTGAAGCACATAGTGCTGACTTGATTGCTGCACTTAGTGCTGACTTGACTGATGCACTTAGTGCTGACTTGACTGATGCACCTAGTGCTGACTAGACTGATGCACTTAGTGCTAACTTGACTGATGCACATAGTGCTGACTTGACTGTGCACTTGGTGCTCACTTGACTGATGCACTTAGTGCTGACTTGACTGTGCACTTGGTGCTCACTAGGCTGATGCACATAGTGCTGACTAGACTGATGCACATAGTGCTGACTAGACTGATGCACATAGTGCTGACTAGACTGATGCACATAGTGCCGACTTGACTGTGCACTTGGTGCTCACTAGACTGATGCACATAGTGCTGACTAGACTGATGCACATAGTGCTGACTTGATGGCTGCACATAGTGCTGACCTGACTGATGCACATAGTGCTGACTAGATTGCTGCACATAGTGCTGACCTGACTAATGCACATAGTGCTGACTTGATGGCTGCACATAGTGCTGACCTGACTGATGCACATAGTGCTGACTTGACTGATGCACTTAGTGCTGACTTGACTGATGCACTTAGTGCTGACTTGACTGTGCACTTAGTGCTGACTTGACTGATGCACATAGTGCTGACCACACAATACCTTCACATTGTTGAGATTAAAAAAACAGATGAACTACTGTTCTGGATTGTTTGGTTTATGTACATAATGTTACAAAACTTGTTTGTTTATGTACATTGACATTCCTGTATTTTAAGTGCAGCTGATACTCTTGTCTTTCATGTGTTCATCTTGTCAGAAATACCTGGTGTTACCTGTTGTAAACAAGGTTTATGTACATTGATGTGATTGTTGTCTTGTTAGAAGTACCTGGTTTTACCTGCCCTATTGATGTGATTGTTTTCTTGTTAGAAGTACCTGGTTTTACCTGCCCTATTGATGTGATGTCTTGTTAGAAGCACCTGGTTTTACCTGCCCTATTGATGTGATTGTTTTCTTGTTAGAAGTACCTGGTTTTACCTGCCCTATTGATGTGATTGTTGTCTTGTTAGAAGTACCTGGTTTACCTGCCCTATTGATGTGATTGTTGTTAGAAGTACCTGGTTTTACCTGCCCTATTGATGTGATTGTTGTCTTGTTATAAGTACCTGGTTTTACCTGCCCTATTGATGTGATTGTTAGAAGTACCTGGTTTTACCTGCCTATTGATGTGATTGTTAGAAGTACCTGGTTTTACCTGCCCTATTGATGTGATTGTTGTCTTGTTAGAAGTACCTGGTTTTATTTGCCCTATTGATGTGATGTCTTGTTAGAAGTACCTGGTTTTACCTGCCCTATTGATGTGATTGTTGTTAGAAGTACCTGGTTTTACCTGCCCTATTGATGTGATGTCTTGTTAGAAGCACCTGGTTTTACCTGCCCTATTGATGTGATGTCTTGTTAGAAGTACCTGGTTTTACCTGCCCTATTGATGTGATTGTTGTCTTGTTAGAAGTACCTGGTTTTACCTGCCCTATTGATGTGATGTCTTGTTAGAAGCACCTGGTTTTACCTGCCCTATTGATGTGATTGTTGTCTTGTTAGAAGTACTTGGTTTTACCTGCCCTATTGATGTGATTGTTGTCTTGTTAGAAGTACCTGGTTTTACCTGCCCTATTGATGTGATTGTTGTCTTGTTAGAAGTACCTGGTTTTACCTGCCCTATTGATGTGATTGTTGTCTTGTTAGAAGTACCTGGTTTTACCTGCCCTATTGATGTGATTGTTGTCTTGTTAGAAGTACCTGGTTTTACCTGCCCTATTGATGCTATTGTTGTTTTGTTAGAAGTACCTGGTTTACCTGCCCAATTGATGTGATTGTTGTTTTGTTAGAAGTACCTGGTCTTACCTGCTGTAAATAGAGTTGATGTAGGTTGATGTGATTTCGTGCAAAAATACATCATCACCCAGCAGTTGACTGGGGTTTTTGTTTTAAAAAATTAAGTAAATCAAATTCTTTTCTGGTCCTTAACATTGTTCCCATAATGCATCTGTTTTGTTTCAGACAATATTTTCTTCTTTAAGAATCTACGTATTAACAATGTAAACATTTCTTATAAAGTGTTGATTTTTTTATAATAGGTAAAAAAAAATTTTTTTTTTATTAAACTATAAAACTGTATAAACCAATGTGTTTATTATTTCTTTCTGTTGATTTGGTTTATAATATTTTATTCTAGATTAGCCGTCAAAGAATGCTTGAAAGTTTTTGTGTTTGTGAATCAAGATCAAGAGGTTCCCTTAATTTAAGTGCTGATTTTGTCAGCAGTTATCGGCTGTTTGATCAATCACTCTCACCCCCCCCCCCTCCACACACCCTACCCCTTACCCCTCCTGACGTGATTAGTTCCGTTTCTGGACAAAAATCTGAGGTTCGTGTCTGAGGACGCAGCTTTATCTTCGTCTATTTTTAGCTGCTCAAAGTTCACAGGGTGAAAACAAAAATAGCCTTCAAGGGGAGAGAATGTTCCAATAGTTGGTTTTTGGTTTCGTCAATATAGCTGAGTCTAGCGCTCCACTCCCCCCCCCCCTCCTCTCCCACGCGACTTTCACATTTATTTTTTCATACAAATTTGAAGTATGATTTTAAATATAAAAAGCTACGTTCTAAAGAAGACGTATATCGTCAGTTAAACATGGTAGGATATAAAAACATGGTGTCCGTAATCTCCAAACATGGCGTCCAAACTAAATGGATTCAGAGCAGATGTTTTCAAATATTTGTTCCCACCGTGGCCTGGATGTAAGGATCACGTGACGCAAGAATTTTTTTTCTTAATTTTGATCTAATTCCTTTCAGTTTCAGCATCACCAAGACCCCATTTACACATATCCCTGCCTATCCCAACCTAAACTTTTCCCAACCTAAACTTTCCCCAATCTTCACTTCTCCCAACCTAAACTTTCCCCAATCTTCACTTCTCCCAACCTAAACTTTCCCTAATTTACACTTCTCCCAGCCTAAACCTTTCCCTACCTAAACTTTCCCTAATTTACACTTCTTCCAGCCTAAACTTCTCCCTACCTAAACTTTCCCCAATTTACACTTCTCCCAGCCTAAACTTTTCCCTACCTAAACTTTCCCCAATTTACACTTCTCCCAGCCTAAACTTTCCCCAGTCTACACTTTCCCCAGTCTACACTTTCCCCAGTCTAAACTTTTCACAATCTACACTTCTCCTAATCTATATTCCTGCCAATCTACACTTTTCCAAGGAAACAAACTTTTATTTCTCTCTATCTCTCGTCTATAGACCTACTGCTTTTATTTCCTCTCCAATGTATGGTTTCTATATGAAGAGTTGATTTTCAAAACGCGATAAGCGCCATTTTTGAAAAAAATGAGATAACGTGCCCATATTGTAAAGCTACTCAGTTACTATTAGGAAAACTTAATTTTAATCTTCACGGCGCAAAATTTTCATTTTATTTCTATTTTGTAGCTTAACAAAAGCTGGATATACCTCATTTTGCAACGAAACGCACATTTTAGGACAAAAAAAAAGCATCTTTTTATGCAGGTACATTTCAAAAACCATTCTAGTCCTATTTATATGAGGGTTATGAACCTAAAAACAAGCTGTACTCTTCAAATTAAAGTCTCTCGTTAGAGACTTGCATCATTTTTGAAAAATGTTCAAATAACTGAAATTACTCACTAAAAACACTTTAAAGTAACAGAAAAACATGGTACAATTGTAGTGAGATGATAACACTGGGAATATAAGTGGGTCTTAATAAAATAATAAACTAAAATATTGGACATCAGATGTATTTTCAGAAAAAAAATGGATATACTGCGTTTTGTAGCTTAACAAAAGCTGGATATACCTCATTTTGCAACGAAACGCAATTTTTGGGACCAAAAAAAAGCATCTATTTTTGCAGGTACATTTCAAAAACCATTCTAGTCCTATGTATATGAGGGTTATGAACCTAAATTGACAAACAGTTTTAGCATATTGTACAATGGCTTCGTGTAGGAGAAAAGTGCGATTTTCTCGAAACCCAAATTTTGGATATATTGCATTTTGAAAATCAACTCTTCATATGGAGTATTTTAAATGTTTTTATTAATTTGCTAAGCATAACAGCTTAAATTACGACCCATCACTTGTGCTCAGTGGCGTAGCGAGGTCGGGTGTCACCCGGTGCGGCACTTAATGGTGTCACCCCCCCCCCCCCCCCAAGGCGTAGCGACCCTTCCCGGGGACGAACTTTCAAATTTTCGATTTGCACCCCCCCCCCCTCAAACTTTCGATTTGCACCCCCCCCCCCTCAAGTTTTTCTCTATATATTTTGCTATTTTTTGCCTTGGTGTCACCCCCCTAAATGGTGTCACCCGGTGCGGTCCGCACCCCCCCCTCCCCATCGCTACGCCTCTGCTTGTGCTGTCCTGGTCTGGACGTTTGTAGTAGTGATACATTTAAGAGCAGCTAGCATTCGGACCGTTGTCAATTTTAACCAGTGCCGTTTCGCCGAGGAAGATGATATTAAACGCAAAACAACCCCTAGTATTTCTTTTCGACCATTCGAACTACTCGCCACGGAAAACGTGTATCTATCAACAAATAAAAATTTCTCTTGCCCAGAAATTCCGAATGAATCTCCATCCTTCTCTATCCCTCTATCTCTCTGACATAATTCAATAGAATAATTGCCGACTAACATAAATTAAATGAGAAAACTGGCCTAACGAGGTGAGATTTGTATTCACCACAAGTGAATCTGCCCCAATCCGCCTAGCTAAGTGATGGATTGGAAGATAACGCAACACGATGCAGCAAAGAACATAAAGGACAAATAGATTTTCCAAGCCTCGTTGTGAGATCTCGGGCCGAGAACAAACGCGCCACCCTGTGGTAATGTGTCCAAGAAGGGCCTGAATCCTATTTACTCCTCGCTCCGGCTAGACCGGGGATTCCCATTGTTGTCGTCTGCCTTGTCATTAGCCATCACTTGCTCCGCTGTCAAAGACATTGATGATGTGCGGCCGACGGACCATCAAGACATTGCTAATCACCACGTTTATTACGATTTTTTCTCTTCTTGTTTCTAATATTTTAACGTTTTTGCGCATTCTATATTTTTTTTTTACATACACAAAGCAAGAATATGCTATGCCCGTATGAACATATTTTTTTTCGGATTATACAATCTAAAAAATATGATGTAGAATCTAGCCCTTATCGAAACAATTTGTCTTCTGAGTGATTCTTTTTTCTTTTTTACATCTCTCTGATAATTTTTTTTTCAAACTCAGACAAAATTCATCTAAAATTATAAAAAAAATTTATCTATATCCTGTCACAAAACATTTTTTCAAGGTTTATTTTCTTGTCGTGTTATTAACGTTAATAAGAATTTTTTTGT